TGACGTCGGGGCAGGGGAAGTGGGGTCTCGGCCTTTCCCAGGCCCCGCCGTGCTCCGCGCTCCGCTCCCCTGCCAGTTGATCGGCCGCTGGAGCACGACCAAGGGAGGAGCACGACCAAGGGAACATCGGCCAGGGGAGAACAAACAAACAGCCGAGCCTGGGCTTCCTTCCTTCCTTCCTTCCCTCCCGCGAATAAACCCTCCCCCCCCCCAAAAAAAAAATATTTAAAAAAAAGAAATGGGTGGGGGAGGGAATTAAATTGACTTTAAATAAATAAATAAATGGGATAAAAACGAGGATAATGTCAAATAAATAAGCGTTTGGGTTTTCTGTCGGGATGTGGTGTGTTCTTGGGGAGTGGGAGCTTGGCCTGGGGGAGAAGGCAGGATGAAGTGGGGGGCAGATGGCTCCCACAGGCACCACAAGGTCCACCACAAGGACTCCTGCACCCCGAACACAGCCTGCTGTCCTCCGCTCCCAGACGGCTCAGAAGGGAAATCCTGGTGGGTAGAGGCTGGTTTGGTCTCACTGAGGTTTTGTGGCATCAGCCCACGGACCTGTCTCTCCTCAACCTTTCTAGAAGGTCCTCTGGGCTTCCCTGGACCTTGCTGTGCTGCGGTGTTTTTGGTTGGGTTGGGTTGGGTTGGGTTGGGTTGGGTTGGGTTGGGTTGGGTTGAGTTGGGTTGAGTTGGGTTGGGTCATTCATTTTGGGTTGTGTTGGGTCATTCGTTTTGGGTTGTGTTGGGTCATTCGTTTTGGGTTGGGCTGCGTTGGGTCACTCATTTGGGGCTGGGTTGAGGTGGGCTGGGCTGCACCACGTTGAGCTGAGCTCTTTTAGTGCTACTGGGTTGACCTGGGCTGGATGGCGACATTCAGGTTGGGCGGCTGTGCATCAGAATTAACCAGTTCCTACACCCACCGTGGCATTTTTTCAGTATTTTTGTCCTCAAAGCCACTTCCAGGAACATCCCCTATCTGCTCAGCCACCCTTTGTTCCTGCAGCTCACGTGGAAACTGCCGCGTTTCCTGCAAACCTGCGAATTCCCTGTCCTGACCTACGGAAGCATCCCCCAGATTTCGCCGGTGCCAGGCCATGCGCAGCGACAAACCCTCCCCACGAGGAAAACACCGCTCGGCATTGGCACCGGCACCCTGACCTCCGAGAAATCCCGCGAGCACGAAGCCACCCGAGGGGAGCGAGTGGAGGACACATCTGTAGGATGCGGGGCAGCAACGAGCCGCTGACCCCGGCGCTGGCAGGGCCTTTCCCATGCGCAGGGCTAATTCTGTCCCCTCGGGGCCGGATACGTTATCTCGTCAGCAGCACCCAGCCGGGGAAGGGAAGAGCATTGTGTGGGCTGCTGCTTTTTTTAAAACCCGCTCGTGACCCCAGGAGGAGCAGAGAGGCAGAGAGGGAGAGAAAATTCCCAGCTCCCGACTCTGGCTGGGAAATCCCCAGAAAGCTCCCCGGAGTTTTTTTTTGTTTTTTTTTTTTTTTTTCCCAGCACCTGAGACCCTCCATGCCCGGGGAATGTCCTCAGGTGGGACCACAAAGCCTGGTGAGCCCCAGACCGTGCTCGTTCCTTTAGGAAAGAAACTCCCCTGTGAGATCCCGATCCTGAGCGCGGCCACCACCCGAATCCCCGACCTCTCCCCCTCCTCCGGGCACACGGCAGCCCAGGAAGGGCCGGCGACAAATTCTCATGGAGGCCGAGATGCCTGTGCCGTGAGCTCAGCCAGTGACTAACTTGTTTATCTCCTCTGGGAGCTGCACCAAGCTTTTGGGAAGCAGCGGATCCCCGCCAGCTCCTCTGCCTGTTCCAGGCGCCTCCCCCACCCCTTTCCTGAACAGCCGCGCTCAGAAAACAAGAGCTGTGGCGACACGCGCCCGCTCAGCGGCAGCACGGGGACATCGAGGACTGGGGAGGCGTGAATTTGGGGAAACCACATGCGGAAATCATGGCAGAGCGATGCCTGGGATCAGCACCTTCAGGACGCAATCCTTTACAGCAGGGCTTGCTGGCACAGGGGAGGTTCTGCCATCAGCACCGCTGCCACCGCAGGTTGTCCCCAGCCAGGGGACACCCTGGCCGAGGATCCCAGCGCACCTGCAGGAAGAGGATTAGGGGGATAAATAATTGCTGATGGGGTGAGCAGAGGGAGGACCACCTCCTGCCTACACCTCTGTGTGTCTGTGATACCTGTATGTGTGTGTCTGTAGTACGTCGATGTCTGTGAGGGGTTACAGAACCACCACAGTGCTTCGTGGAAGAACTACACGACTCAAAGCAGAGTTATAAAGTAGGTATTTGGTTTATTTCAGCGCCAGGTACATGCAGGATAGCTCCCATGTGTGCCCTAACGCAGCAACTCACCTGGGTTCTATGCAGCTCAAAGTTACACGTGCACGGAGTTCCACAATACGTCTATAGGCACGCATAACCTGTCCCTGCTTCGTCTTCAGATAAGCTCCAAGGAGTCATTTCCATGAGCTCCTCCTGTCTGCACTTGCGCACCTTCTCCTCTCCTGGTGGTGGTCTTTGGGGGGTCGTGGGGACGAAGGCCGAGAACTCCTCGTCATCACCACCAGCTGACCCCCTTTGCAGCCTTTGGAGACTCAGCTGCTCCTCGGCTCTTGCCCAAACCACAGGGTCGGGCTCAGCTGCTTTTTGGGACAGGTTCCCCGCTTTTGTCAGGCTGGGCTCGGCTCGGCCGGGCTCGGCCCCCCCCGGCCTTGCTTCATTTGCATAGCCCCGCCCCCGATTGCCCCAGCGGCCACTCAGCTCTTGGGGCCAGCCGGAGCCCCGCCCCCCGAGGAGGCGGCGGTGGCTCACCGGCTTGAGGCGCTCGCATAACCCTGACCTCGCGACGTGGAGAGAGATCTGAGGTCAGGGGTTCGAGACGCAGCATGGGGGTGCAACGCTCCTCCTTTTGCACACACCTACTCTTGCTTACAATTCCTTCCTCGTTTCTTTCTGCTCTCTGCTCTGCGGTTTTTGCCCTTTTACTCCACTAGGAGCAAGTCCCTTTCATCTGCTACATCCTGCCGATCCTGGCTTCCTAGCAGAATCTTTGCTGGTGGCCCCTTAAGAGTTACTATCTTCAGAGACTTTAGGACTGACTGAAGCCTTCAAATTCACTTCCTCAGAAAAGAGATTCAACAAGGCATCGTCCTGAAGAAGATGGATCCCAGGAACAAATCAAATCCTGTTTTCCCCGTGCTGCTCCTGGGAGCCAGGACCAGATGTTCCCTTCCAGGTTCAAGACCTTCCAGGTCTGGACGGGAGCTACTTTTCTAATTGCCTTTTGTAATTTCTTCCATGACTTTCCTGTTGTCATCGATTTGAAGACAGCAGCTTGAATCATTTGGCTTTGCCCATAGGCACCTCCTCCTCGTGCTAGTAAGTCATCGAGGACCAGGAGACGTAGCATTATTGCAGCTCGCATCGCATCTGGGTGGCTTGATCAGCGAGCAAGTCAGGAACCTTGGCGGTTTGGTCAGTGACGCTTTCAAATACTGCCTGCCCCCTTAGGATTCGATGTAGGTTGCACATATATATTACTTGCCGAGCTCCTGCAACCACCTCCTTCGGCTTCCAAGCGGCTGGCCCATAACGTTGGGGGATTCTCTCTGGAGGCCACTCATCTGTACCCCATTTCTGGTTACTTCCAGAAGCTAGGGATGTATCTCCTGACCTCTTTTCTCTTTTAAGATCATCCCGTCATTGAATTTCCAATCCCTTACCTTCGAGTTCTGGTATCAGAAAGAACGGTGGCCTGAGGAGTCCAACAGAAGTAGTACCTGAGGATCTTAATGGGACATGGTGTCAAAGACCTTCCTGAAGTCCAGGAAGACGATATCCACTGCTCTGCTTTCATCTGCCAGACTTGACATTTCATTACAGAAGTTTATCTGCATTCAGTCAGTCTCATTTCGTTTCATTTGGCAGATTTACTTTTCAACAAGCAAATCCCAGATCTAAGCAAGCTGAAAGCAACAGTCCCCCTGTTCAGCATACTAATCCTGTACTGACCTTGCGAGCTATAGGCATCCTGTTGAAGATAGTCCATAACACAACTCCCACTACAACTTTGTCCCTGAGGTAGGTAGAAAACGACACTTTTGCCATAATCTTCTCCTTCCTTTGGAACGCGAGGCGTTGGTGAAGCACTCGGAGAAGTGGAAATTTCCGAAGCTTCTGCTTCAGTTTCCCCTTCCGATCGGATACCTGTCCCTAATGTAAAGATGTCACGTCAAAGAACCAGTGCAGAAAAAGGCAGCAGCTCTCTACCTGCGGTGATAAAGGCAGGCTAAAGAGAAGGCTTCTGTAAGAGACTGAGGTGTGTTTTTCTTTGACTTGACGCCAGCAAAAGTTAGGATTGTTTAACACTTCAATAATGAAGCAATCCTAACACAAAGCATAACGCTGACAACTCCTGGCTTCCGTCACCAAACACGCTGTAGACTCACCGAACGGTTTGGGTTGGAAGAGGCCTTAATTCTGAACCCCTGCCATGGGCAAGGACATGAGCTGCACTACATCAGGTTGCTCAAATTCCCATCCAGCCTGACCTTGAGCGCTTCCAGGGAGGGGGAACCACAACTTCCTTGGCCAACTTGTTCCCGTGCACTAAATTGCCCCATGTAGTATTGATCACAAACGGGGTGTGTGGAGGCTGCACCATCCCCGCCTCACGCGGCTCGCAAAAGGTGCCTGCACAAACCAGCCTTTTTTTTTCTAACGCCATGAAGCGAGCCCCCCCTCTCCTCTCCCTGGCACCCCTATGTCTATGATAGCTCCACGCGCAGCTCCGGGGACTCCTTTGCCCAAAACCTCGAGGTTTCGCCCCAAAACGCCGCGCACAGCCCCGCCCGCACTGCCCGGGCTCCCCACAAGATGGCGGCCGCGAGCCGGCGCTGTGCGCATGCGCTGCCCGCCTCCCCGCTCCTCTCTATGGTCTCTGTGGGCGCCCTGCCCTTCTTCCGCCAGCTCTGTGCCCTCTCTATAGGCGCCCGCCCGTCTCCATGACGGCGCTCTAGGACCTCCCACGTCTCTATGGCGGGCGGCGCTCTAGCCGCGGCCTCCCCCCCCTCTCTGTGGCCCCGCCTGGGGAGCGGGGGGCGGCGCCTGGCGGCGGGTGCGGGGCGGGGGCGTTTTGGGGGAATTTCTGCGGGATTTGGGGCTCGCTCCGGTCCGGTGCTGCGGTGTGGTTCCGGCAGGGTTTGGGGTTGGTTCCGGCGGGGGGGGGTTCGGTGTGATTCCGGCAAGGTTTGGGGTTGATTTCGGCAGGGAGGGGTTTTGGGTTGATTTCGGCAGGGTTTGGGTTTGGCTCCGGGAGGGTGTTTTTGGGTTTGGTTTCGGCACGTTTGGGGTTTGGTTTCGGCAGGGTTTGGGTTTGCTTTCAGCGGGGTGTCGTGGTTTCATTTCGGCAAGCTGCTTTGGTTCAATTTCAGGAGGGTTTTTGGGGTGATTTCAGCAAGTTTTAGGTTTGGCTTCAGCAGGGCGTTTTGGTTTAATTTCAGCAGGATTTGGGGTTTAATTTCGGCAGGCTTTTTGTTTTAATATCTGCAGGGTGCTTTGGCTTAATTCCAGTAGTTTTTTTGGGTATAACTCTAGCCGGGTTAAGGTTTAATTTCAGCAGGGTGTTTTGGTTTAAATTTAGCCGGATTTGGGTTTAATTTCAGTAGTTTTTTTTTTTATTTGGTTGTTTTTCTTTTGTTTAATTTCTGTAGGGCTGTTGGGTTTAATTCCAGCAGCCTTTCGGTGTAATTTCGGCAGCGTGCTTTGCTTTCATTTCAATACTTATATTTTTGGTGCGATTTCAGCCGGGTGCTTTGGCTCAACTTCGACATTTCTTGTTGTTTTTTTTTTTTTTGGTGCGATTCGGGCACGGCGCTTTTGGTTTAATTTCCTCCTTTCTGTCCCCCCAGCAAGGCAGCAGGCCCAGCCCCGCAGCGGAGGAGCGATGCCCCCCGGGGACACCCCCCGGCACGGCCCCCACGGCCCCTCGGACACCGGGCCCCGGCTCTGCGCCCTCCTGTAGCTCCCCCAGGCCCAGGTAAGGATGCTGGCAGACAGCTCTGCCTCACACCACAGCTCCTTTAAACCCTTTCCCTTCCCAATTGCATCCCCTCCCTGCCTGGGAACGCTGCCTGGCTCCTCTCAGGGCACGCAGAAGGCAAAGGGGGTGATTTAATAGCAGTTCACCCCAGTAAACGTGCATCCCTATTGGGGTCACGCCGCTGGGGCTGGCTGCTGTGCTGCAGAAGAGCTTTTTAGAGCCCGGTGGGAGGCTTTGCCTTCGAGGTAGGTGAAGGTGGTGCAGTGAGGAAGGGGTCTGGAGTCTGGGCGGTTGGTGCCGAACCTTGGGGGGGAGCGGGTAATTGATTTATTTTTTTTTAACTTCTAGGAAAACGAAGGAGCTGCGAAGCTGGCAGTGTCTGTGATGTCTTCATTAGGCTGCTTAATTTAATTGAAAATTTTCTGTTGCTGGGAAGGGCTGGAAGGGGAATCTGATACCTGACAGCTGAGATCTAATAGAGCTGTCTGCCACAGCAGCGCAGGCCTTTCTCAGCAGGGGACGGCCGCTCTGCCTTTTGTTTCTTTTGTAATTAATAGGTAAGCTGGGCCAGCCTGGGCTGTTAAACCTTAAGCTCTGCTGACAAAGAAGCGTCTGTGTGTGCAAGACTCCTGTTCCAGGGGACTTGACCCACCGCAGGGGTTCATCGCTTAGGTTAGGTCGCGTCCCTCGGCTGGTTCTGGGGCAACAGCCCTCCTCTTGTCAGTATCCTCTTTTTGAAGGCTGCCGTCGCTCAGGCATTGGCACTGTGTGGTGTTTGGGTGCCTCCTCCAAAGCTTCTAGAAACGAAAGATTAAAAACCCAGCCAAGTGAGTAAGGTTTTTTTTTTTTTTTGCTATTGAAATCTGTGCATTTCTTACAGACCAGAAAACTTTGCTTTAGACTGAGAGACTGGACCTTTTAAAATGCTTGATGGAAAATAGATTATTTTTTTTTTCAGATGCCAAATAAGCTTGAAAAACAGGCTGGGCATGCTGTCACGGAGTGATGGAACAGGTCCGTTCACAGCTCCAGCAGCAGAGCAGCGTGCTGAACACCAGCAGGGCGCTCTCACGATGCTCTGGGAAGTTTTTGCTAAAGGCTGGATGAAATCCACAGAGTAGAGTTGTTCCTCCTTCCATATAGATAGATGGAAAATACTTGGTTACTAATTTTGTTCAACTTGGTATGTTTTTATTTCTCAGAATGGGAATTGTGGCTTTTTTTTTTATTTTCTCCAAGAGCTTTAAGTAGCACGATTGGTTACTCCGATTGCTTCTTGCATTGGCAGTGAGCAGACCACTGAGGGACCGGGAGGAAAGTCTCCTGGATAAACAAGCCCCTCGTGAGGCTCTTCCTTCCTCCTCTCACAGCATGTCTCTTGTCTTCACACTCTCAGGAGCCTCACAGTGTTCTTCAAAGCACAATATATTCAAGTTTTCTGCCTTTCCTGCAGCTCTGTGCTTCCTGCTCAGCCTGTCACCTCTATTCATTCACCAGGTGGTGGGCTCTTGGATGAGATCAGGCAAGCAAGATGCTCTGCACAGTGTCTGCACAGGACCTTGTCTTGCTCTGACAGAGGGGCAGAGTTGGAAACTGAAGATCTCACCCTTCTGAAAGTCTTCACGTAAAGTTTGCCTTTACGTGAAGGGTGGTTTGCTGTCTCCTTCCTCCTGAGTGTTCTTTTTGGATTTCAAGGGAAATTTGGTCTTGAAACCTTGCAGCTGGTGCATTTCAGTGGTGTCCAGGTGAGGTGTGTGTGATGTGGACAACAGAAAGATCAGAAGGGTAGACGTGAGGTGAACAGGAGGAGTGGGAGAAAGAGTGAGCTGTTCACATAACTGATCTCAGCCAGGAGAGAGCTGTTAGCTTCGGTTAAACAAGCTCAAAGACAAAATGGAAATTCTCTCTAATCATGTAGATTTGTGTGTGTGTGTGTTCAGCTCCTCTTACTTTTAGTGTCTCTTGGAAAGATTTAATTTATGGCTTCTCTGAGCTGTTTCTGGTGTCTGCTTCCAGCAAGACCAGCAGAGGAGCAAGAGGTCTCATTGATTAGATTAAATATCTGGGTCACTTACCATTACCTGTGTTTATCCTCTGGTAAGTTTTGATACTGGAAGAAGACAGAGATAAAAAGAACATGTGCAGAAAGATAACTACGGCTGGAGCTGCCCCAGGCAGAGGCCACTTTCTAAATGGATTTATAGATGTGCTTTTCCTATCAGCTTTGTGTCCTGCGCGGTCCTGTGTGAGGAGATAGGAAGCTTATTTGCACACGCCTGCTTCTTTTTATCCCTCTGAGCTAGCGGGTATTCTTGAGATCCAAAAGGTGAAAAGGAGCGAGTCTGCTCTCGTGTTTTTCTTTCAGAAAGCATGGTCTTGAACTTTGTGAGTGGTAACCCGTGGCTTGGTTCTCAGCAGTCTGCTTAGGTGGGAATATTGCGCTTCAGCAGCCCCAGAAATCAGAACTTTCTTTCTGCAGCTCTCAAGCTGTTGGTGGCTCGTGCAGATTGTGGCCAAGCACCTTGCAGAACACAGTGGTTTGCATATTACTCTCAAACTGCATTATCTTGATTTCTGCTTTTTTTTTTTTCCCTAGAGTTCTCAGTCTCTTCAAAATTGTTTCAGCAAATTGTTTTCCATGAGTGTGCCACGTCTGTACCGATTTTACTGTTCCTACTATGTTCTTACTAACTTTTGAGATCTCTGTAGGAAGTCAGCTATGAAGGGGAGAAGCAGGTCGGGCAGCTGAGGCACCAGTCTGTGCTCTTCAGATAGAAAGTGAAGGGCAGTCAGAAAACTGGGATAAGAAATTCTTCCTGTGCCTGTGTGCTGTCCAGCGATACTGAATTCCTACGTGCTCCAGATCAAAGCGTTGTTGAAATCCTGCTGGGTTTAGACCTGTCCTCTGTAGCTTAATGAACACGTGACAGAGCATTTAGTGTGGTTTCACATCTTAAAACTCGCAGGGTTTCTGCCTTTGATCGCATTGAAGCGTTACAAACCAGCCTGTGGGAAGTCACCTTCTCATCTCTGGTCAAAAGTTAACTGTGACTGGTTACTCTTCCATTCTGGCTGTGCCCTTTGGCAGAAAGAGGGATCTTTCTCCTCCTCCTCCTCATTGTTTCGCATACTTTTTCTAGAACTGCCCTAATTACTGGATTCCTCTAGATCTTGCTTCTGTAACCAAGGTTGATCTTCTCTGCTTCCCTGGTCAGCTCTGTCCAGGAAGGGGAAATTCAAATTGGGAAGGCCAAAGAGGGGGAAAGACCTGCAGCAGGTGAGGTTTTGCCAGTGCTTTGTAACGATCATTGAACACTTGAGCTCAGGGACTGAGCATTGTCTCTTCTGGAAGTGATAAATCCTGAGATCTCATTTACTTCTCAGGACTATTTTTCTGCTGGAGATTATGGTGGTCACAAAACAAGCCAGATTCCCCTCTCTCTCCTCCGTTTCCACCTGGTGTGCTTGGATTGGATTAGCTTGTTTTACAAAAGTCATCACTCCCCTGATGGTTAATTCCTTGCTGGTTCCATTACACCCAGTTTTTAAGGGCAGCCCGTTTTCCCTTGCCAGCTTCACAGCCCTTCTGCGTGTTGGTGTTGTCCACAGAAGTATCCGCTGCTGCTGACCGAAATTTTGCAGAGATTGCCGTGTAGGCTCTGTGATTCCACCAGTAACAGCAGCACAGCTGTCTCACCTTGTTCTCCTTCTTCTCGTCCTCAGGATGTGGTGCCGGAGGCTGGCGTGCCTGCTGGGCCTGCCGTGCTGGCAGAGCCGACGTGCTGGGCATGGCTCACTGGGGCTGCCCCACAGCACAAGGATCGTCCCCACTGCTGCAGCTCGCTGCCACCACACGGCCCCGGAGTCCCTGAGCTGTGCCTGGCAGCTGCACGGCGATCACCTGGGTAGGTGTGTGGTTTTGAGCCTGCTTCTGAGCTTCCTGGGGAGAGGAGCGAGGTTTTCCTGGCCTCTCATAAGTCCCTTATGAGAAACAAAGCAATGCTCACTGAGAACTTGAGCAATTCCTGAACTCTGACTGCATCTGAACCTTGCCCCGTCCATCAGTTGTTCACTGTGTGATGTTTGGGCCTCTGACTTGCAGCTGGGGTGGCTGGCTCGGTGTGTTCCCAGCTCTTTGCCTTCCCCCGCTTGCAGATTTTGCTTAAAACATGTTGAAACACAGTTAGAGTGGGTCTGTAAGCAGCCTTTTAGTGTGGCTGGATGGCACGAGCACTGAAGGCTTTTTGATGCCAGTCATCCCTCACTGCGAGACAGCTTAAGGAAAAGGCAAGGAAGGTGTGCCTTAATGAAAGCAAGCCAGTTACAAATTCAGTCTAATGCTGCTTTGCCCTCTGGTTTTTGGAGACAACTTAGCAACCAAAGCACATTTCTCCGTGGTCTGCTTCATTTGGTACCTGCAGATACCCAGCATCAGCCTGGTGATGTCTGCTGAGGCTGGTTAGAAGGCCTGGTACTGTGGAATCCCCTTGTGAGCATATCTCTAAAGGGGATTGCTGAGTGTTTCATCAAGCATAGTGGCCCCCTGAAGAAGGATGTTGTTGTTTCATCCCTCGGATACTTAGATCTCACAGATGAGCAGCAGTAGAGCAGGAAGGGCTCTCCTGTTGCCCATCCTGGCTCTGACCCTCCTCTGAAGGCCTTTGGGCTGTCCCAGGAGGGAACAAGAAGGTGAGGCTTTGTAGTAATGATAAACGGGTATCCAAATTTACTTCTTGAAGAGAGAAGATAGACATAAATAAATGAGCAGTGTGTGTGTTAGCCACGCTCCTGCTCCCTGTTGCAGGATGAGGCTGCCTGTGGATAGTCTTCGAGTGAGAAGCTAGCTTCACTTGCACCGAGAGGTGCTAAGTCTAACAGCTTCTGTGTCCCCTGGAAGTGGGATCATAACTTGTGGGTTTTCCTGTTGTATTTCTCTCACTGTTCACGCCGGTGCATCTTCTGTGCCCGTCTCTTTGCAGAGCTCAGGTACGCAAACACGCTGATGCGCTTCGATTTCGTCTGGCTGCGGGACCACTGCCGCTCAGCTTCCTGCTACAACGCCAAGACGAACCAGCGCAGCTTGGACACGGCTAGCGTGGACCTGGGAATCAAGCCCAAGGCTGTCCGAGTGGATGAGACCACGCTCTTCCTCACGTGTGAGTATCAAAACACTCATCTTTCATGGACTCACCAGCCCTGTTTGGAAGGAGGCTGGTGGATAGATCCTGCTGTGAAGGCTGCTCTCTCCTAGCAAACCTTATCTCTAAATCAGGAGCTGTTTTGGGAGGAGATGTAGCTCTAAGCAGATCTTAAACACTGCTCTTCTGAGCAGGGCTGTTGCTGTAAACACAACTTAGCCTTATTTATGTCTGGTTTTCTTCTCCCTCCCCTCTTGAGTGCATCTCCAGTGTCTGGGTAGTTTATTGGTTTGTTTGAACATGGGAGCCGTGCAGATAGTGAAGAGATCAGTCAAGAAAAGGTTGACTTTCTTATCCTTGCTCTGTCCTGTTTGAACTGGTGTCTCTGATTAGAATTCACATCTTGTGTCCTTTCTCCTCTGCTTCCTGGCTGCTTCAATCGCAGCAGAACAAAGAACTTTCATTTACGGTACCCTCATTTATGGGGTTGTCATCAGTGCTGCTTCTTCAGTGTCCTGTCACTAGAAAACAAAACCCCTGAAGTAGAAACGCTTAGGCCTGGAGTTGGGGTTGTTGACGGTACTTGTAGGACTTGTGGCCTGAACCAAGTAATACTTAAGCTTTCAGTGAGGTTCTAAAGAGTCTGTCATTAGGCAAAATTAGGAGGGGATTGTCCTAGACTGAGGGTTGCAGTGGCTGTGATCTCTCTCGGTCTGTTCAGTGCGATTGCAGTGACCGTGACCCTGCTTATTTGCCACAGGGCCGGACGGGCACGTTACGCGGTACGGGCTGGAGTGGCTGGTGAAGAACAGCTACGAGGGGCAGAAGCAGCGGGTCATGCACCCGCGGATCCTCTGGAACGCCGAAATCTACCGCCAAGCCCAGGTCCCATCCGTCGACTGCCGGAGCTTCCTGGAGACAGACGAGGGGCTGAAGGAGTTCCTGCAAAACTTCCTGTTGTATGGGATCGCTTTTGTTGAGAACGTCACTCCCACCAAAGAGGACACGCAAATCTTAGCAGAAAGGATCAGCTTAATCAGGTAACGGGGGCTGCCCCAGGAAGGCCACGGGCAGCTTTGTAGAAGAACCATGAATGGGAGGCTGTTGCTTCCTTTTTCTTTGGAAAGGTGCTGCCCTCATATCCTACACGTTGTGCAGTGTGGCTTGGTTTGCAGATGAAGGGTCTAGGTCATCTGCAGTCCCTGGCCAGTCCCCGTGAACAGAGATGCAGTACAGCACTGTGGCATCTGGCCTCTTTTTGGGGGGAGGCCTGGAGTCAGTAGGTTACAGAGCTGCCTCGGGAGCATGCGATGACTTTTGTGATAGTGGGACTGTGCACAGAGAGGAGTGACTGAGGGAAGGAGCCAGTCTGGGAAGACTTGAGCTTTGCAAGGAGAGACATTTCCTGTTATGACTTGAAAGGTTAGGAGGTCAGCCCTGGCCCTGGGAGCCAGGGAGATCAAAAACAATTTGTAGCTCTCACCAAAGAAAAATACTGGGAAACTTTTCTTCTGTGTTTGAAACACAACAACAGCATGGCAAGCCTGGGTTTGAGTGAGTTTTATCCAAGCTGCACAAACGGCTAAACTTGCCATGGTCCATTAGGAGAGGAGGGATTTCTATTGATGAATAGCCACTCCAAATAGAAATAAAGGTCTCGAGGAATATCCAGCCAACATTTTTCTCCAGATTCTTACCCTCCTCCTGTAGCCCCTCAGTACTGTTTGTTGCTACTGGGTCCTTGCCTTCCTGCCATGCACATTGCAGGGGGAGGTGGGTGAAAATGGAGCATCTGAAGAACTGAGATGGGGGTTGTACTCAAGGTGGGTACAAACGAAGGCACAGACCTGTACAACAAGGTACAAACCTGGGCTCTGGTCACCCCCAGTGTTGCTCAGTGTTTCCTTGATTTGGCGGGCTGATCTTCAGAGTGAAGTTGTGTATTTGTGGAGGAAAAGACTTATTGCCATCGGTCTTCTCAAGGAGGAGGAAATAAAGTGAATACTAGGAGGAGGCATTAGAAGCACCATCTCTTTGACAGCATGAATCCTGTCAACTCGGGATGATTTGCTGTTTGCATTCACTCTGTGCATGCCGTGTGTAAGATAAAGGGGAGTAACCTCAAAAGGAAGAGAGGATCTGGTTTGGCTCAGTGCTGACCCCTGCAGCGCTCTGATAACTGCCCACCTTTCTTGCAGGGAGACCATTTATGGCAGAATGTGGTACTTCACCTCCGACTTCTCCCGGGGAGACACTGCCTACACCAAGCTGGCTCTGGATCGACACACCGACACGACCTATTTCCAGGAGCCCTGCGGGTACGTGCTGCTGCTGCTGCTCCACACACACAGTGCAGAAAGCAGGCGTCATTCACACTGATGCAGTTCAGTGTTTGCAGCTCTGCTGGTGGGATTTAGTGGTACTAGTCACACCGTAATTCTGGATCCTGCCTGATTCCTCTGGAGTGGGGTAGTCTGTAGTCTTTCCTGTGCTTCAAACTCCAAGGTCCTCCAGAATGCAGGCAATGAAGGAGTTGGCTGTTAGCTTCAGTGGTAGCCTATGGGGAAGGAGGGAGCAGCTCACCTCTGCACAGCCTGCAGCAAATGTCTCTGCCCTCCCAAGCTGCGTGAGTGGTACCAGACGTACGTGCTGTCCTCACGTATGCCCTGTGCAGTTGCTCTCCTTCAAACTGGTTGGGATTTGCATTTTGGCAATGGTGCAGCCCTGGAGGTAGTCAGAAACCAGGCTTCTCCAGCCCTTCAAAGTTCACACCTGTCTGTGCTTTAAAAAAAAAAAAAAGTTTGTAGCTACAGTTGTTTCCCAAATGCTGTTTTGCAAACTGCTTTTCCAATATAGCCTTCGGGCTGCAAGTTTTGTACCTGGCTGGAGAAAGAAAGGCAGCAGCCCGGAGCGGGATTCCCACTAAAGTGCAGGAGGCTTAATTTCTACCTTCATTCTCTTTTTTTGTCTGCTTTCATCTCAATGAAGAAAAGAATCAATGAAATGGCCCTGGGGGAGAACTGATGGAAGGACTGTGACTTCATATGGAAGTAGCACTACAAAGGCTAGGAGAAGCCATCTAGTCTACACCTCCTGCCCTAGGGCAGGATTAGCTCTTCCCAAGTGAGGCCGTTAAGTTGCTAAGCATCTTAATGGGAAGGGGCTGTGAGGCAGAGCTGGAAAAGTAGAGGAGAGCCAAGGGGTGGGATCTACTGCCTACATATGGATTTCAGAGCAGTCCTTCAGGACTCAGGACTTCAGGATCGTGCCAGCCAAGGAGGCACCTTGGTTGCCCATGCCTAACCTAGCCCAAAGCTTTTGGGTGGTAGCATTTGCTCTGAAGCAGCGATGTCCCAGAAGCAAGGTACGCAGTTTTTAGTTTTAGAAGTAGATAAATAAAACTTAAATCCAGGCACATCTTTCAAGACTGATCTAGTTGGCTTCTGTGTTTTCGGTGAACAGCTGACTGTAGAACCCATGTGCTTTCATGGCCTGTGCAGTTACCTGCTTGCCTGACTTGTTTTAGGAGCTCACCAAATCTCCCCCAAAGTCAAACGCTGAAGTAACCAGTAATCAGAGCTTCAGCCTACAGATACGCTTTGATTAAGCTGCTCAGTGTGAGAACTACAGAGCTCATCAGCTATTTTCATACCTTTGTTTTCTACTTGGAAAAGTTCCCTTTCTTTCAGGTAGGTATATTTTCAGCTGCAGTAAACAATGACACTGTGGACCAGGCTAGCAGGGCTAACCATTAATGCTTGCAATCCTGCAAAACCTTAGTTTTGCAGGAAGAACACGAATTTCTTGCTTTCCTGAGCCCCTATCTGCCAAAAATCCCTTCTGCTCAGACTGCTTCAGCAACAATTTAAACTGTCTTTGACCTGCTTCCAGAGGAAAGGTGATTTTTAAAATTTTTTTTCAAGAAAGGTTTGTTCATTTGAATGTCTGCTTTTCCTCACCGCTTTGGGTGAAATCAGCTAAATCTGACAAGTCTCGAGTTACCTTTTTGTAAAGGGTAGAGGAGAGAAACTGCTCAAGGCATGGGAAAGACTGCGGCATTGTCTCACTCAGTGGGCAGCAAAGAGCCTGCCTTCAAAAGAGACTTTCTCAGTGCCCCAAGCTGCACGAGAAGGTGCCTTCAAGGAGCAGAGCCACCAGGGCTTGGGCATCCTGAGCTCCCAGCCTTGTGGACTGACTGAAATTATTTTAAATCTTCTGTGGTTTTAAGGGTTTGTTGAGCCAAGGTGAAAAGGTGCCGGGGAGGCTGGAACTGGGAGCTTGTGCCACATCGATTGCTGCAGGACTGGGTTAAGAGGCATCAAAGGAGATCAGGAGATGAAACCCCAAAAGGTTGTGTTTGTCTTCTGACAGGTGAAGTTGGTACACCATGAAAACTGGCAGTGCATGGCTCAAGGCAGCTCCTGGGTGTTTGTTTCTGAGAATGCAAGGTCTAACAGGCTTGGATGAAAAGGGAGGGAAAGAACAAATCTTCAGAAAAGTAAAAAAGCAAAAGCTATTTAGCTGAGTTGGACAGCTGAAGAAACATCGGGCAGAGCTGCTGCTTGCTGCGAAGTCTCCATTCCTTAGCAGGTGTTAGTGAAATGAAGGAGACAACAGAAAAGCCTGTTGTAACCGGCAGATAGATCAGTATGCGTTGTCTGGGTCTGGGGGAGCACATTCTCTCCACAGGACAGACATCTGAGGTCTTTTCTGTTGTGCTCTGCATTCTCTCCCCCCTGCAGCATCCAGGTGTTTCACTGCCTCAAGCACGAGGGGACGGGCGGGCGCACGCTGCTGGTGGACGGCTTCTACGCGGCGGAGCAGGTTCTCCGGCAAGCCCCCGATCAATTTGAGCTGCTAAGCAAGGTGCCCCTGAAGCACGAGTACGTCGAGAACGTGGGCGACTGTCACAACCACATGATCGGAGTTGGGCCAGTCCTCAACGTCTATCCCTGGAACAACGAACTTTATCTGATCAGGTAACGTCAGTGAGAGGGAGGCCTTGTGCATACAGGGATGGGGTTCTGTCAAAATGCAGTGGTTTGCAGAAGAAAATTCAGACAGAAAACCAATGTATGTTTGATGGAGGGAGTGAAACCACAAAAACACCGTGTGTTTCCTCCTGGGTTTTGCAATGCTGCCTTTGAGGAAGTGTCAGAACCACTGATGCAAAGAGGGGCATCACTGCTGAGCTTTGCTTTTAGCTCCTGTTATCTTTATCTCCGTGCCCTCGGCCCCACTGAGGGCTAGTTCAAGGGCTTGGCTTCAGACATTTTTGCCACTGTGTGTGTTATGTAGGAGGAGCACCGTTAGATCTGGGTATGAGCAAATGCCCATCCTACTGCCAGTCGTTAGAGCCTCACTGGGGTGACCCTGATCCTGCCCCATGTGAAGTGTCCAAGCTCATGTTACTTCATTTGAGAGCTGCTTTTTGAAATTCCATCTTGGCTTAGCACAGGAGGTCATCCAGCACTATTTTGCACTTCTATGCTAAAAAAAACATCTAGTCTCATCCTTTGCTGTGTCTGTGGTGGTTTGCAGAACCACTACACCAGCTAGTGCGAGTTGCTGGCACCAGTGCCCCCTTATCCACGTGAGCAGCCTGCTTCTGTTTAGAGCCTGGCTTTTCCTCAATAGCTTGGAGCTTCTGGCTGAGCAGACAGCAAGCTGCTAGGTTGTGTGGGCTTCATTTCCACTGAGGAAAGAAGTTTTCAATATACCTCGCTGCTGATGGGCTTCTCTTTCATTCCCACTTTTCCTTTCCCACCACCGAGATCTCATGGGGCAGCCTTCCATGAGAAACAGCAAAACCTGTGGTACAGCTGGCAGCAAACTCTCCCTTGATCCAAAGTCCTGCAGCATAACCTGCCCACTCATCTCACAGCCTCCCTTAAATGCTGGCTAATCTGTGTCTTCAGATCTTCGGAGGCTCCCTCTGGGAACACCTGGCTGCTCTTGGGGCCCCATAAGCAGTCTTTTTTCTGTCGCCTTTACCTCCAGATACAATAACTACGATCGTGCAGTCATCAACACGGTGCCTTACGATGTGGTGCATCGCTGGTACACCGCTCACCGCACACTCACCGCCGAGCTCAGGAGACCAGAAAATGAGCTGTGGGTCAAACTGAAGCCAGGCAAGGTAGGACTCGGAGGCTCACCCGTGTTTGGTACGGGCAGGGAGGCAGGGTGCCCTTCTGGATGTTGCCGCAAAGGTGCAACCTTCAGGCAAACCCTGTGCTGAAATTTTCCTCTTCACAGCTGTTTTAAGGTGCCTTGTATTCCAGTGATGGCATCTGTTGCGTGTATATTCCTACTTTTGTGACAGAATATACAGTTAGCTCAGACCAGGGGAGAGGAGGAAGGTATTTTCAGTCACTGAACAAGGACCCTTGAAAGCAGGGAGCACTTACTGTTTGGCCTCTGACTTGTTCCAGAAGCAGAGAATTTTTAATGGAAAAGTAAAGGGCACGTGGAAAGCTGAATTTGCTTCTATTCTGAGGTTATATCTGAATCCCTACATTGCCAGCGAATCACAGGAGACCTGAGCTCTCCTCACTGTCCCAGAAATATCTTAGCACGTCTTGGGACTAAAAGGGAAAAGCTCTGCCCTGGGTTTGAAAGGCCGATGCTGGGTGCAGTTTTGGAAGAGCTTGAAGGGCGAGAGCTTCATTCACAGACTTAGAGGCTTCTTCCACCAGCTGTGCCTGCTTGAAAGGGTTTTTATTCCTACAGGGTCTAGATGGGTCTAGATTCAGTGTGAACCCAGGGCCCCAGGTATGAAAGATGCTCACATCAAAGAGCCTCTACAGCTCTCTGTTCTCAAGGATGCTTGGGGAAAAGTGACACGCTGGAGGCTGAAAATGACCAGTTTCTGTTGCTGGTGCGCTGTTGCCCAACCTCTGCAGCACAAAAGCAAAGCAATGACCCAGAAATACTTTGCTAGCTGACCCGTTTTAACCTGTGGTTAGCAGCGGAGCCGGGCCGCTGGCTTCAGGTACTAGAGCTGTGCTAGATCAGATCAGCCACCTGCGTACGGTTTCATGCTGAACGGGAAGGTTACAGCTCCAGCTCCAGGACCCGTGGTGTCAGCGGGTCCTGGCTCAGCTGCGGTGCTCCCCCTTGTCCCAACAACCTCTCCTCTTCCCTTGCAGGCACTCTTCATAGACAACTGGCGCGTCCTGCATGGGCGGGAAGCGTTCACGGGGTACCGCCAGCTCTGTGGCTGCTACCTGACGAGAGACGACGTGCTGAACACCGCGCGCCTGCTGGGACTGCAAGCCTAGCGCCGGCCAGCCGCCGCGGGGAGGCAGAGCTCCGTGCTGCTGTGTCACCACGAGGAAGGCGTTGTACGTACCTCAGACACCTCCGCCCTCTCAGAGCAGTTCTCTCTGCCTGCCCGGGAGAGGGAGCAGGTGGCAGCCCAAGGTTATGGGAGCTTTTTGGGACCGCGTTCTGCCTCTGTCCAAGCAGGGTCAGCTCGTGCTGTCTGTGCAGCCAGCCAGTTTGTCTCAGCTGCAGTGAATCGGGGTTAAACACGCTGTGAGAAGTGCTCCCAGCACCTGTTGATGTGAAGTGCTCCTCTGATCAAGTGCCTTCAGGATCTGAAATCTGTTTCTTTCTGTTGTTCAGCCTTTCCTGTCATTTCTATGGTTTTTTTTTTTGTTTGTTTGGCATAGCAGAGCAGAATGGATATACCTGGGGTCTCGTCTCACCCCAGTCTGGACTTCACAACTTCTAGAAAAAATGTAAAGTCAGGACTTTACACCTTCTAGAGAATTTTTTTTCTCTAAAAAAAAATTCCTTATTTTGATGGAAGTGCCACTACTCAAACTGAGGGCTGTTGGCATGTATCAGTGAATTCCTTCCTCTTAAACATACTGCGTACCCTTATAACAGGCACTGATACAATCCGTGCTGCTTGAGGGGTGGCCTGGAAAGAGAAGCTCTTGTAGTTAGGGTATTTCTGAAAAGGCTTACAGTAGAAGAAAAAGGGGAAGTAGTAAAATCTGCATGTTGGGAAGGAGAGATGTGTTGGATGAGGGGTGTATTTCTCATGTTTTCTTGACCTCAGTGATGTAATGCTGTCTGGTGTTCTTTCTGCCAGTTGCACCATGCTTATACTGAGAGTCAAGGCTCGACAGCTGCAGTGTTTACTGACATTTCCCACTGTGCCTACTCTTTCATCTTCTCTGAAGGCGGAATTTGTCTTAGGGCATCTTTACACTGGCTGCTGGATGAGGCTGACTCTTTTTCACCAGAGTTTTCTCCATATGAAGGTAATAAACACAGAGGTGCCTTTCAGCTCCTGGTGGTAGGGAGGATAAATTGGAGAGTTTGGCACACTGAACAACCGTAGTGTAAGGAACAAAAATAAGTCCCATATTACTAGAAAAATAGAAGCTGTAAAACCAAGAGAGGACTTTAGGTTTTATTCTTCTGTTCTTCCTTATCTTTGGGGATATCCACTCTGCTCTGACTGGACCTGAAAACAGGGCTGGTCCTGTTCCCTCCTGGCTTTCCTGTGCAAGCAAAATGCTGTCATGCCTAAGGTACAAGTGCAGTGCAGATGCACGTGTGCTAAACCTGCTGCCCTCATTGAATCTAAATACTGAATGTATAGATCCTAGTGCTAGGAGGCACTCTTAAAAGCTTCTGTTCTTGTGGACTGAGCTACCTTATGCTGTCTTCTGCAGCATGCCCTGCCTGCAGGGAGCCGTCAGGAGATGAAAGGGGTTTCAGAGCCAAGGCTCAGGAAGCTGTTGATCCGAGGACACGTAAGGAAGTGAAAACTGGGCCACATGGCAGCAGGCACAGAGCGAGCTGGCTTCTGTCAGGTCCTGTTCTCACAAGGGCTGAGGATGGCAGCCTCAGGCATGGGCAGGAGCTTGAGTTTTCCTCTAGGCTGAGCCACTGGGTTCCTCAAGCAGCCTCCAGTATACATTACTTCTGTTACTTTCTTTGCCAAACACTTGGTTTATAGCTTCTCCTTAGATGCCAGTTATGCCAGCGTAACTCGAGTATGAAGTTTTGGAAGTCTTCATTAATCTTGAAGTAGCAGCCCCCTGTGGTTACGTACGCTTCTCGCACAACCCATCTCAGATGCTCCAGGGTGGTTCCACCTTGTACTTCTGGGTGAAGCCAAGGCCTGGAGCATGTGAGGAGAGGTCGTGACAAAACCAGCCTCTGTTAAATGGCACAGGAGGGGACAAAAGAGCCTGATCAGTATTTCAAAACCTGTTGAGGGTTCCTGAGTGGCTCTTGTCTCCCTGTGCTCCCTGAGAATAAGAGGGAAAAACACTTGGGTTCATGTGGAACCCATCCCTTAGTCACTGAGACCAGCTTTACCTTCCTCTGTGCAGGGGATCTCCGTTTTTATCAGCTGCAAGCCAAAAATCCGCTGCTGCCCTGAGGTGGAGCGTGCAGGACTGTGGCTATCACAAGGGAGAACTGACCAAACCGTGTTGACAATTGTAGCGATACCTGTGCCTTTGGTGAGGAACGTGGTTATGGTACCTGCCTCCCGCTGAGCGGTGTGGGGCTGCCAAGAGCTGTGGTCTTCAGCAACCAGACTCCTCTTCTGAGCCACCTCCAAGCCAGCGCAGTCCTCAAGGTGATTGTGTCATGCGTTTGGGGGAAAATTATCCACCATGAATGTAGCAGACACACATTTTCTCATAGGTGTTCAGCTTAATTTAGCCACTTCAATAATAAAATGGGGAGGGGAGAGAGCTTTCTTCCCCCTCTTCCCCTCTTCCCAAGTGGACTAAGTTCTTCCTAAGCATCTTGTGAGCAGCAAAGCCTTATTTGTAGAAACAGGAGTTCTGGGCAATTGCAGTCTGATGTGGATATCTGTTGCAGAACTGGTTGTTTGCTGTAATGAGATCGGATCAGTTTTTATAATCCAGCTCTTTCAGTCCTTTCAGCCAATAAATGATGAACTGCTTCCTTCTCCCTCCCCGTGCACTAGGGTACCACTGTATGTGTTTTTAAGACATTTTTCAAAGGTAAGAAATGGAGTAAGTGGTGATGTATTTTACTAAATGAGTTACATAGTGGTCAGGTTAACAAGACCTATATTTCAAGCAGTCTTGAAGTCTGTATTACCCATCAAAGGTGAAATAAATCTGAGAGGGGTAAATCAATGCGTCTCCAAGGGCTTCTCTGTGTTCATTCTTTTCACTGGCCACACGATGGCAGAAGAGGCAAGGAACAGGGAAAAAATGAGTCTTAAAAACTGAGTGACACATCACATCCACCTGTGACTCTAGGCCTGAAGCAGCTTCTGTTTCTTGCAAAAGAGATAAAGGATAATAAGAAGGGTTTCTAAAGTATGTAAACAGTAAAAGGAAGACTAGGGATAATGTGGGTCCCTTGCTGAACGAGGGGATGTCCTGGTAACGGGAGATGCCGAGAAGGCGGAGATACTGAACGCTTTCTGTGCTTCAGTCTTTGCTTCAAGGACTCCCCCTGGGACTCCTGGACCCTGTACAGAGGAGAAAGGGTCTGGGAAGTGGAGGGCTCCCCTGTTGTTGACAAGGGAGTGGTTTGGGAGCATCTGAGTGGGCCCAGCGCACACAAATCCATGGGTCCTAATGGGATGCATCCACGTGTGTGTCGTGGTTCCACTCGGGGGCAGCCGAGCTCCACCACAGCCACTCTCTCATTCCTCTTCCTCAAAGAGGAACAGGGAGAGAATACGATGAAAAGGGCTCAAAGGTTGAGATAAGGACAAGATGAGATAAGGACGAGAAGATCACGCAGTAAGTATTGTAACAGGCAAAACAGACTCGGCATAGGGAGATAGTAAGATTTATTGCTTATTACTAACAAGCTAGAGAAGTGAGAAACAAAGGAAAGAAACCAACCCTCTCCACCCTCTTCCACCTCCTCCCCCCGAGCCGCGCAGGGGAATGGGGGTTATGGTCAGTCTACAGCACTTCTTCTCTGCCGCTCCTTCTTGGTCACTCTCGTCCCCTGTGCTGTGGGGTCCCTCCCATGGGATGCAGTCCTTCCTGAACTGATCCGGCGTGGGCTTCCCACAGGCAGCAGCTCTTCCAGAACTGCTCCAGATATGGGTCCGTACCACGGGGTCCATCCCTCAGGAGCAAACTGCTCCAACCTGGCTCCCCCACGGGCAGCAGCTCCTGTCAGGTCACCTGTTCCTTTGTGGTCTCCTCCACGGGCTGCAGCGTGGAACCCTGCTCCACCGTGGTACTCCATGGGCTGCAGGGGGACATCCTGCTTCACCATGGGCCTCACCACAGGCTGCAGGGGACTTCTGCTCCAGTGCCTGGAGCACCTCTCCCCCTCCTTCTTCACTGACCTTGGTGCCTGCAAGGCTGTTCATCACTCCCTTCACTCTCCCAGCTGTACGTGGCACAGCATTTTTTTTCCCTGTCTTAAATCTGCTCTCACAGAGGCGCAAAACAACATCGCTTATTGGCTCGGCTCTGGTCTGTGGGGCCCTTACCAAACATGGGGCAGCTTCTAGATCCTTCTCACAGAAACCACCCCTATGGCCCCTTGCTACCAAAACCTGAGGTGCCTGAAGACTTGGGGAGAGCCAGTGTCACTCATGTCTTCAAGAAGGGCAAGAAGGAGGAACTACAAACTACAGGCCAGTCAGTCTCACCTCTGTCCCTGGAAAGGTGTTGGAGCAGCTTGTTCTGGATGCCATCTCCAAGCAGTTGGAAGAGAAGAAGGTTATGAGGAGTGGTCAGCATGGATTCACCAAGGGCAAGGCGTGCTCAACCAACCTTGTTGCCTTCTGTGATGGCACCACCAGCTGGGTAGATGGGGGGAGAGCAATGGATGTCATCTACCTTGACTTTAGCAAGGCTTTCGATACTTTCTCCCACAACATCCTGATAGGAAAGCTGAGGAAGTGTGGGACAGAGGAGTGGACAGTAAGGTGGGCTGAGAACTGGCCGAGCTCAGAGGGTGGTGATCGGAGGAGCAGAGTCTGGCTGGAGGCCTGTGACCAGCGGTGTTCCCCAGGGGTCAGTGCTGGGTCCAGTCTCATTCAACGTCTTCATCGACGACCTTGATGAGGGAATAGTGTCTGCCCTCAGCAAGTACACCACTGACACAAAGCTGGGAGGAGTGGCTGACACGCCAGGAGGCTGTGGGGCCATTCAGCGAGACCTGGACCGGCTGGAGAGATGGGCAGGAAGAAACCAAGTGAGGTTTAACAAGAGCAAGTGTAGAGTCCTGCACCTGGGAAGGAACAACCACATGGATCAGTACAGGTAAATTTCCCACCCGTGCGTGTCCGAGGACCTGCAGTTTGCCACAGGGTCCATCTCTCCCTAAACACCTGCACCTGAACTCATTCCCTCACTGCATACACACCTTCCGTTGCCTCTGCTTGCCCTCTGGTCCCTTCTGGCCACCTCCTTTTGGCCTGCAGTGACACCCACGTCTTTCTTTGGTGTCTTGTCCCCTTGGCATCATTACGCTTTTGGTGCTCCCTAGAGCAATCTCTCAGTGAATGCAAAGCCTCCCCTTGGAAAACATCCTTCAGTCTTGTGCTTGCCATCCTGAAATCTTCTTTACTTAGCTGAAAGCCATTTACCATTTTACTACTTGAAAACATAGAAGCTATTTTAACAGGCTCCTTTATCTAAGTAAACTGGAAAAAAATATTACCTGGAGTTAATCATTAACATAATTAAACACTTTAGTTCAAACCAGAACTGTCAGGATCACGCAGACACGGAGGGATTTTGTGGGGCTTTCATATTGCTTTGTGGGGCGATACAAAGTCACAGAAGAAATGAGGTGGGAGCAAGTCTGGAATATTTGGAAAGTATCACGATTTTGAGAAAAGACGGATGGGTCAGGAGAAATTCCTTGTGGTGAAACTCAGATGCTCGGGGAGGGTGGGCTGCTGCTTATAGTATGGGAAATGCTACAAGTGACGTGCAGACCATGCAGTAACCATGGCAGGAACCAGCTGGCCCTGAATCTCTTCCTTTCACCTCCCATTTTACAGATGCTCTGCGGATTCTTAAATGATCCACGGGAATGCAGATGTCTGAGTTGGTACTTTACAGCAGCAGCGTGAGCAGTCTCCATCCAATGGGCCCTTTGTATAAAAATATAAAACAGCCCAGTGGAGTGATTTGGGAAAGCAGGGAGAATTCTGCACAAAGAACGATGCCAAGCCTCTCATCACTGAACTGAACAGGTCTTAGAGCAAGGGTCCTGCTGCAGCCCGGACCTACGGTGTGATTTTAGTCGTGCAAAAGCTGTGGTTGGAAACACCCCACCCACGCGCTGGGAGGGTGGCGGTGGAGCTGGGCGAAGGTGGCACGGCTGAACCCAGCACCCCCAGCCTACCACCCAAAGCCGTGGAGATCACACGTCACAGCTGCAGGCTGACCTGCAGGAGGAAGGTCTGAAAACCACCTCGACCGTCTGTGAGTTACAGCCAAGTATGGAGGGGTGTGAATTTTCTGGTTGGTGCTGAAGCTTTGTTGTTCGAGCTGTGGGTGCTGCGGCTTTGAAGTCCCCCACAGCAGTCAGACACTCTTCCCTCCCAGGTGAGCTGTCTGACCAAGTGAAAGCCAGAGCCCGGTGCTGAGCACTGGGAATGGGAGAAGAGATGTGCAATGGGTACCGTGTGCCGGAGGTGGGATGGCCGTGCATCTCTCTCGTCCGTTGTGCAGGATGAATCGTGGAAGGAATCCACGGGGCACAAGAAATGGAGAAGGATGGTGGCCCAAATCCTGTGGTCCTGACCAAGGAAACCAGGACTCCAAGCCAAGATCTCAGCAATGATCTGTTTGCAAATGAATTGATATTAAGAACAACAATAGTTCTAATTCTTCCAGCTCCTTGTTCTTTGTCCAGTTCAGAGCTTCCTAAAATCCTCCTGAACTTCTCGGCACACTTCTGCTGCCCCAGCCTGCAAGCTGCTACCAGCACGCTTTGCTTGCAGCTCCCTGCTGAGCTCCCAGCCCCTTTGACCATCAACCATATCCTATCCTACCCACTGCAAGCGTGCTCAGTGCAACAGGAAGGAAGAGGAAGAGGGAGGATAGTGTGAAATCGCTCACCATCAGCAGAGCACTGCTCTTGAAGGTGCAGGTTGGGGGAGCTTTGAAGCTCTTGGTGTTTTGCAGAGCTCCCTGCTACCCCGAAGGTGGTCAGTGCCCGTGAGAGTCCTTGAGGTCTGCGGCATCTGAGGGTGAACTGCAGCAGGAAGTAGAAAAGCAAAGAGAGACACGGCAAAGGTGAGGGAGAGCTTATCCGACATGGTCCATGCTCACAAACCAGCAGGTCCGTGCCCTCTGCCAGGCTTCTGGAGAGATGGCTCCCTGGCATCCTCAGTGCCCTTGCGATATCTGGGCTGCTTTCAGGTCCTTTGCTGCCACCAGTGCTTCCCTTCCAGCTGCCCTTCTTGTAGCAGTTGTGGGGACCATTGCACATCTCTGCCTGTCAGGTGGCAAAGAAGGAAGATCCAGGGGAAGCTTCTGCCTCTCTGCCTGCGTGCAGGTTGCCCGTGCATCCCTGTCAGGAGCCCTTTCTTTCTCCATTTCAATACCCTTTATATTTATATTCCAATAAATACCCATTATGTTTATATTCCAATCAATATCTGTTATATTTATATTCCAATATCTGGCAATAAACATTTCCAAGAGGGAGGTACAGCTCCTCACCGTGGGAGGAAGCTGCTCTCTTGGGAAGCCCATGGACCGAATGGCACCGAATGTTTTTACACCAACAGCCAGGGCTGGGCTCCCGTGCAAGAGGCTTGTTTCAGAGCACCACCCTTACCAACCTGTTGGTAGACTGACCTCCTCCCCGAGACGGTCTGCATGCAAATTCTGAGGTCAGCACAGACGCTCAGCTTGTCACGGAGACACCCTGCGTGCAGCCAAGGGGACGGGATGTCTCCGCAGAGCTGCGCCGTTGTCTGCCTCAGCCTGATGCTGGTGGGTAAGTTGGGATGGGGCGAGCGGAAAGCACCTTGGGTGCTGTGGGAGCTGCGGGTGGGATAAGCTTGAGCTCAGGGAAAGGAAAGGAAGAAGCTGGTGGTGACTGTGGAGTGCTCACCTCAAGCACAGATGGCTGGGGACGTTGGGGAAAGATCAGGGGGTTTCTGTGCTCATTCCCAAACATCGGCTGAGGGCTGGACCCAGCACAGATGTTCATGGAGCTCCTGCTCCCTGCTCGTGCTGCTGTGCAAGTGCTGCTGGTCCCTGGGTGGCCCGTGAGGGGGGATACCTGCAGGATGGCCGTGCCAGCTGGAGAGCTGCGTCCCGTGGGCATCCCACCACCGGGGATGCAAGGGATGCGTTTTGCTGAGAGCCAGAAGAGGTGCGCGAGGAAGTGGTGGTGGGGCAGGGGGGGCTGCGAGCGCTGTGCTGCAAGGGGAGGGAATCTGCAACTGATCTGCTCACCCCTCTGCAGGGCGAAACCTGGGCTTCCTCGTGGAAATCCCGCAGGATGCAGTCACTGGCACCGTGGGGCAGTCCGTGCTCCTGCCCGTCTCCTACAGATTCAACAGCACCCCTCATTTCCCACTGTCGATTATGTGGATGTTTGTTCACCCCTCACAAAAAATCAGCACTTGTGCTGTGCACAACTGCTCCCTGGATGATGGGGGGGCTCCCAAGAACTGCTCCACAAACTGTTACCCCTATCCTACACACTGGGGCCGTGTTGAGCTCTTCCCCGAGAACGCATCCCTGCTGCTGCGGGACCTGCAGCTCAGTGACAGCGGGGTGTACACCGTCAGCTTTGTACAGCAAAGACAAAGCAGGAACATCACCCTGACCGTGCTCAAGCAGCCTGTCCCCACAGATCCTACCAGCGAAGGTAAGTGTCCCTGTGCTGCCCTGGCAGCATTCCTGCCCCTCCTGATGGGGACAGCACGGGACCCCTGCGGAGGTGTCCTGGGGAGGTGGCAGCCTCCCGATGCCACATCTCCTCTCTCCTACCGCAGGCACTTCTCAACCAGCAGGAAGAATAGCCACACGCATCCCTTGCTGCATCCTCGGAGGCTGCTACTGCTTCATCCTGCTGCTCCTGCAGCTGCTCTTCCACCTGTGCTGGCTGCGGGGCAGCCGTGGGGAAGCCTGCGGCTGCTGCTGGGGAGAAGGGAGCCAGCGTGCGGGAGCAGCCAGGGCCGGGGCACAATGAAGTGCCCAGAGTGGGGGCACAGGGGACACCCCACAGCCCCCTCTGTCCCCGCAGCCCCAAAGCGTGCAGGTGGCACAGGAAGGAGCCGGGGCTCGCCCGCCCGCCCGCAGCGAACCCCACGGCGCCGAGGGGCTGAGCGAGAGCCTCCGACTTCCTCCTGGCCCAGGCGAGCGCAGCAGCCGCAGGCGATGTGTCCCGGCCGGCGCTGCTGGGGCCTCGGCTCCCTCCTGCTGCTGCTGCTGCTGCTCGGTGAGCTGGGGACGGGGCCACTGGCTTTGCCCTGGGGGTAGCTTGGGGGTTGTGGCTGGAGAAGCCAGCAGAGAGGAGGCTGGGGCCAAGGGGTTTTCAGGGCAGGTGGTGCAGGGAGCACCCTGGGGAGGCTGCGTCCAGTGGGGTCCCCAAAATCAAGGGCACCGCGCTGAGGTCTGGTGTCTGGGTGTGAGGCTCCTGTCAGGGGGCGGTGGGGCAGGGTGGGCTGAGCGCTGTACTCCAAGGGGGGAGAATCTGCCGCTGCCCTGCTGAGCTGCTGAGCTGCTGAGCTGTCTCTTCCCCTCTGCAGGGCAAAACCTGGGCTTCCTCCTGGAAATCCCGCAGGATGCAGTCACTGGCACCGTGGGGCACTCCGTGCTCCTTCCCATCTCCTACAGATGCAACAGCACCTCTTGCTTCCCACTGTCAATTAAGTGGCTGTTTGGTCACACCTCACAAAGAACCATCTCCTGCACCGTGCAGAAGTGCTCTCTGGATGATGGGGGGGCTCCCAAGAACTGCTCCACAAACTGCTTCCCCCATCCTGCACATTGGGGCCGTGTTGTGCTCTTCCCCGAGAACGCATCCCTGCTGCTATGGGACCTGCGGCTCAGTGACAGCGGGGTGTACACCGTCAGCCTCCAGCACCAAATACAAATCAGGAACATCACCCTGACCGTGCTCCAGCAGCCTGTCACCCCAGACCATTCCAGCGAAGGTAAGTGTCCCTGTGCTGGGCACAGGCACCTCCTGCACTGCCCCAGCCATGGGAACCATCGGGCACAGACAGAATTTCGGTCCCTCCTTCCAAGGGGCCAAGCCACTGTAGCGAAGGGAGGATTCCCAGCGCTTTCTTATGCAGTCCTGGTTGTGCTATTCTGGTTGTAGCTCGAAGCCCAGCTCCAAGGGGGAGAGTCTGCTGCTGATCTGCCTCTTCCCCTCTGCAGGGAGAAACCTGGGCTTCCTCGTGGAAATCCCGCAGGATGCAGTCACTGGCACCGTGGGGCAGTCCGTGCTCCTGCCCGTCTCCTACAGATGCAACAGCACCTCTTGCTTCCCGGTGGCAATTCATTGGCTGTTTAGTCACCCCTTAGAAACAATCATTGCCTGCACAGTGCAGAACTGCTCCCTGGGTGATGGGGGGTCTCCCAAGAACTGCTCCACAAAATGGTACCCCTATCCTACACATCGGGGCCGTGTTGAGCTCTTCCCCGAGAACGCATCCCTGCTGCTGCGGGACCTGCGGCTCAGTGACAGCGGGGTGTACACCGTCAGCTTCCAACAGCACCAAAGACAAAGCAGGCACATCACCCTGACCGTGCTCCAGCAGCCTTTCCCCACAGAACCTTCCAGCAAAGGTAAGTGTCCCTGTGCTGCCCTGGCAGCATTCCTGCCCCTCCTGATGGGGACAGCACGGGACCCCTGCGGAGGTGTCCTGGGGAGGTGGCAGCCTCCCGATGCCACATCTCCTCTCTCCTACCGCAGGCACTTCTCAACCAGCAGGAAGAATAGCCACACGCATCCCTTGCTGCATCCTCGGAGGCTGCTACTGCTTCATCCTGCTGCTCCTGCAGCTGCTCTTCCACCTGTGCTGGCTGCGGGGCAGCCGTGGGGAAGCCTGCGGCTGCTGCTGGGGAGAAGGGAGCCAGCGTGCGGGAGCAGCCGGGGCCGGGGCACAATGAAGTGCCCAGAGTGGGGGCACAGGGGACACCCCACAGCCCCCTCTGTCCCCGCAGCCCCAAAGCGTGCAGGTGGCACAGGAAGGAGCCGGGGCTCGCCCGCCCGCCCGCAGCGAACCCCACGGCGCCGAGGGGCTGAGCGAGAGCCTCCGACTTCCTCCTGGCCCAGGCGAGCGCAGCAGCCGCAGGCGATGTGTCCCGGCCGGCGCTGCTGGGGCCTCGGCTCCCTCCTGCTGCTGCTGCTGCTGCTCGGTGAGCTGGGGACGGGGCCACTGCGGCTGGAGAAGCCAGCGGGGAGGAGGCTGGGGCCAAAGGGTTGTCAGGGCAGGTGGTGCAGGGAGCACCCTGGAGCGGCTGCATTCAGTGGGGTTCCCAAAATCAATGGCGCCGCGCTGAGGTCCGGTGTCTGGGCATGAGGCTCCTGTCAGGGGGCGGTGTGCTGTACTGCGTCTGGCTGGGATGTCAGCTTTCCCTGCAGCAGCCCACACAGTGCTGGGCTCTGCACTTGCAGCTGGAGCAGCAGTGGGATCAGCCCAGTGCTGTGTCTGCTGCTGAGCAGAGCTGGCACGGCACCAGGGCTCTCTCTCACCCTCCTGCGGGTGGGCAACGAAGGGAAACAGGAACATCCCCAGGGCAGCTGCCCTAAACCAACCAAAGGGATATTCCGTACCACCTGGTGGCACACTCAGCAATATCGGGTGGAAAAAGGAGGAAGAGGGGAGAGCTGGGCTCTCGTTGCAAAAACATCGGTCCTGCTGAACACTGGCTACGTGCGTTGAGGCTCTGCTGCAAGGACGTGGTCAAGCACCGCTCACTTGTGGGAAGCAGAGAGTAATTTCTTTCCTCTGCACTTCAACATAGCCTTTATGGGTTCTGTTTGGCTTTGTTTTTTTTCCCTCTCTTTTCCCCTTTCAATTTTTTTCCCTTTAGCTGAATTGTTTAATTAATGCTAATCTTTCCTTCATAATTATTTTTTCCCTTAAATAAAATGACCCCTGTATCAACCCGTGAGTTGTTCTTTCCGTTACTTCTTCCCCTCCTCTGCTAAGGAGGGGGAGTGAGAGACAGGTTGTGGCGTTCAGCTGCCTAACACGGTAAAACCACCCCAAGGGGCAGGGTGGGCTGAGCGCTGTGCTCCAAGGGGGGAGAATCTGCCGCTGCCCTGCTGAGCTGCTGATCTGCCTCTTCCCCTCTGCAGGGCAAAACCTGGGCTTCCTCCTGGAAATCCCGCAGGATGCAGTCACTGGCACCGTGGGGCAGTCCGTGCTCCTGCCCGTCTCCTACAGATGCAACAGCACCTCTTGCTTCCCGGTGGCAATTCAGTGGCTGTTTAGTCACCCCTTAGAAACAATCATTGCCTGCACAGTGCAGAACTGCTCCCTGGGTGATGGGGGGGCTCCCAAGAACTGCTCCACAAAATGGTACCCCTATCCTACACATCGGGGCCGTGTTGAGCTCTTCCCCGAGAACGCATCCCTGCTGCTGCGGGACCTGCGGCTCAGTGACAGCGGGGTGTACACTGTCAGCCTCCAGCACCAAAGACAAATCAGGCACATCGCCCTGACCGTGCTCGTGCAGCCTGTCCCCACAGATCCTACCAGCAAAGGTAAGTGTCCCTGTGCTGCCCTGGCAGCATTCCTGCCCCTCCTGATGGGGACAGCACGGGACCCCTGCGGAGGTGTCCTGGGGAGGTGGCAGCCTCCCGATGCCACATCTCCTCTCTCCTACCGCAGGCACTTCTCAACCAGCAGGAAGAATAGCCACACGCATCCCTTGCTGCATCCTCGGAGGCTGCTACTGCTTCATCCTGCTGCTCCTGCAGCTGCTCTTCCACCTGTGCTGGCTGCGGGGCAGCCGTGGGGAAGCCTGCGGCTGCTGCTGGGGAGAAGGGAGCCAGCGTGCGGGAGCAGCCAGGGCCGGGGCACAATGAAGTGCCCAGAGTGGGGGGGGGCACAGGGGACACCCCACAGCCCCCTCTGTCCCCGCAGCCCCAAAGCGTGCAGGTGGCACAGGAAGGAGCCGGGGCTCGCCCGCCCGCCCGCAGCGAACCCCACGGCGCCGAGGGGCTGAGCGAGAGCCTCCGACTTCCTCCTGGCCCAGGCGAGCGCAGCAGCCGCAGGCGATGTGTCCCGGCCGGCGCTGCTGGGGCCTCGGCTCCCTCCTGCTGCTGCTGCTGCTGCTCGGTGAGCTGGGGACGGGGCCACTGCGGCTGGAGAAGCCAGCGGGGAGGAGGCTGGGGCCAAGGTCTGGGGGTGCAGGTGATGCGGAGCCCACCCTGGGGTGGCTGCGTCCAGTGGGGTCCCCAAAATCAAGGGCACCACGCTGGTGTCTGGATATGAGGCTCCTGTCAGGGGGCGGTGTGCTGTACTGCGTCTGGCTGGGATGTCAGCTTTCCCTGCAGCAGCCCACACAGTGCTGGGCTCTGCACTTGCAGCTGGAGCAGCAGTGGGATCAGCCCAGTGCTGTGTCTGCTGCTGAGCAGAGCTGGCACGGCACCAGGGCTCTCTCTCACCCTCCTGCGGGTGGGCAACGAAGGGAAACAGGAACATCCCCAGGGCAGCTGCCCTAAACCAACCAAAGGGATATTCCGTACCACCTGGTGGCACACTCAGCAATATCGGGTGGAAAAAGGAGGAAGAGGGGAGAGCTGGGCTCTCGTTGCGAAAACATCGGTCCTCCTGAACACCGGTTACGTGCGTTGAGGCTCTGCTGCAAGGACGTGGTCAAGCACCACTCACTTGTGGGAAGTAGAGAGTAATTTCTTTCCTCTGCAAGTCAACACAGCCTTTATAAGTTTTGTTTTGCTTTTTTTTTTCCCTCTCTTTTCCCCTTTCAATTTTTTTCCCTTTAGTTGAATTGTTTAATTAATGCTAATCTTTCCTTCATAATTATTTTTTCCCTTAAATAAAATGACCCCTGTATCAACCCGTGAGTTGTTCTTTCCTTTACTTCTTCCCCTCCTCTTCAAAGGAGGGGGAGTGAGAGACAGGTTGTGGCGTTCAGCTGCCTACCACGGTAAAACCAGCACACGGGGCAGGGTGGGCTGAGCGCTGTGCTCCAAGGGGGGAGAATCTGCCGCTGCCCTGCTGAGCTGCTGATCTGCCTCTTCCCCTCTGCAGGGCGAAACCTGGGCTTTCTCCTGGAAATCCCGCAGGATGCAGTCACTGGCACCGTGGGGCAGTCCGTGCTCCTGCCCGTCTCCTACAGATGCAACAGCACCTCTTGCTTCCCGGTGGCAATTCAGTGGCTGTTTAGTCACCCCTTAGAAACAATCATCGCCTGCACAGTGCAGAACTGCTCCCTGGATGATGGGGGGGCTCCCAAGAACTGCTACAAAAAATGTTACCCCAATCCTACACATTCAGGCCGTGTTGTGCTCTTCCCCGAGAACGCATCCCTGCTGCTGCGGGACCTGCGGCTCAGTGACAGCGGGGTGTACACCGTCAGCTTCCAGCACCAAATACAGATCAGGCACATCACCCTGACCGTGCTCCAGCAGCCTGTCCCCACAGATCCTACCAGCGAAGGTAAGTGTCCCTGTGCTGCCCTGGCAGCATTCCTGCCCCTCCTGATGGGGACAGCACGGGACCCCTGCAGAGGTGTCCTGGGGAGGTGGCAGCCTCCCGATGCCACATCTCCTCTCTCCTACCGCAGGCACTTCTCAACCAGCAGGAAGAATAGCCACACGCATCCCTTGCTGCATCCTCAGAGGCTGCTACTGCTTCATCCTGCTGCTCCTGCAGCTGCTCTTCCACCTGTGCTGGCTGCGGGGCAGCCGTGGGGAAGCCTGCGGCTGCTGCTGGGGAGAAGGGAGCCAGCGTGCGGGAGCAGCCAGGGCTGGGGCACAATGAAGTGCCCAGAGTGGGGGGGGGGCACAGGGGACACCCCACAGCCCCCTCTGTCCCCGAAGCCCCAAAGCGTGCAGGTGGCACAGGAAGGAGCCGGGGCTCGCCCGCCCGCCCGCAGCGAACCCCACGGCGCCGAGGGGCTGAGCGAGAGCCTCCGACTTCCTCCTGGCCCAGGCGAGCGCAGCAGCCGCAGGCGATGTGTCCCGGCCGGCGCTGCTGGGGCCTCGGCTCCCTCCTGCTGCTGCTGCTGCTGCTCGGTGAGCTGGGGACGGGGCCACTGCGGCTGGAGAAGCCAGCGGGGACGAGGCTGGGGCCAAGGGGCTGGGGGTGCAGGTGATGCAGGGAGAACCCTGGGGCGGCTGCATCCAGTGGGGTCTCCAAAAATAAGGGCGCTGCGCTGAGATCTGGTGTGTGGGTGTGAGGCTCCTGTCAGGGGGCGGTGGGGCAGGGTGGGCTGAGCGCTGTGCTCCAAGGGGGGAGAATCTGCCGCTGCCCTGCTGAGCTGCTGAATTGCCTCTTCCCCTCTGCAGGGCAAAACCTGGGCTTCCTCCTGGAAATCCCGCAGGATGCAGTCACTGGCACCGTGGGGCAGTCCGTGCTCCTGCCCGTCTCCTACAGATGCAACAGCACCCCTTGCTTCCCACTGTCAATTAGGTGGATATTTGGTCACACCTCACAAGTAATCATCGCCTGCACAGTGCACAACTGCTCCCTGGATGATGGCGGGGCTCCCAAGAACTGCTCCACAACCTGTTTCCCCCATCCTGCACATTGGGGCCGTGTTGTGCTCTTCCCCGAGAACGCATCCCTGCTGCTGCGGGACCTGTGGCTCAGTGACAGCGGGGTGTACACCGTCAGCCTCCAGCACCAAAGACAAAGCAGGAACATCACCCTGACCGTGCTCGAGCAGCCTGTCCCCACAGATCCTACCAGCAAAGGTAAGTGTCCCTGTGCTGGGCACAGGCACCTCCTGCACTGCCCCAGCCATGGGAACCATCGGGCACAGACAGAATTTCGGTCCCTGCTTCCAAGGGGCCAAGCCACTGTAGCGAAGGGAGGATTCCCAACGCTTTATTATGCAGTGCTGGTTGTGCTATTCTGGTTGTAGCTCGAAGCCCAGCTCCAAGGGGGAGAGTCTGCTGCTGATCTGCCTCTTCCCCTCTGCAGGGAGAAACCTGGGCTTCCTCCTGGAAATCCCGCAGGATGCAGTCACTGGCACCGTGGGGCAGTCCGTGCTCCTGCCCGTCTCCTACAGATGCAACAGCACCCCTTGCTTCCCAGTGGCAATTCAGTGGCTGTTTAGTCACCCCATAGAAAGAATCATTGCCTGCACAGTGCAGAACTGCTCCCTGGGTGATGGGGGGGCTCCCAAGAACTGCTCCACAAACTGTTACTCCTATCGTACACACTGGGGCCGTGTTGAGCTCTTCCCCGAGAACGCATCCCTGCTGCTGCGGGACCTGCGGCTCAGTGACAGCGGGGTGTACACCGTCAGCTTCCTACAGAACCAAAGACAAATCAGGCACATCACCCTGACCGTGCTCGAGCAGCCTGTCCCCACAGAGCCTACCAGGGAAGGTAAGTGTCCCTGTGCTGCCCTGGCAGCATTCCTGCCCCTCCTGATGGGGACAGCACGGGACCCCTGTGGAGGTGTCCCAAGGGAGGAGGTGGCAGCCTCCCGATGCCACATCTCCTCTCTCCTACCGCAGGCACTTCTCAACCAGCAGGAAGAATAGCCACACGCATCCCTTGCTGCATCCTCAGAGGCTGCTACTGCTTCATCCTGCTGCTCCTGCAGCTGCTCTTCCACCTGTGCTGGCTGCGGGGCAGCCGTGGGGAAGCCTGCGGCTGCTGCTGGGGAGAAGGGAGCCAGCGTGCGGGAGCAGCCAGGGCCGGGGCACAATGAAGTGCCCGCAGTGCCCGGCCACAAGGAAGGCGCTCAGCTGCTGCCTCGGGGCTGCTTTTCCCTCTGGCACCTGCCCCTCTGCTGGACAAACCGGGCTCCCGGCCCCTGCCTGCCCCCAGTGCACAACCACTCCCCACGCTCACATACCCCTGCTGTGAAATTCCTGCTCCCAATTCAAACACCAAATAAACACCTTTCCTCTGGCCTCCCTGTCTCCAAAGTGCCTGGCATGGGGCTGCAGCACCACCTGAAGCAGTTGCAGCACCAAAGCGAGAGCCGGGAGAGATTCCCAAAGCTCCTGGCCAGCCCCAGGTGGCAGTGGCACCTCGCAGTGGGGCTGGAGACTCCAAAAGCTGCTTTTGTGGGGCAGGGGCTGGGCGGCTGCTGAGGCTAAAGGGTGACAGCTTCAGGAACATCCTCCAAGCGATTGAGCTGCATCCCCTGGAAAATCCCCCCAAAATGGGGATGCGATGGACGCATTTTCTGGCAGCTCCCTGCTGTGAGCATGGAAGGGGTGCTGGGGCAGAAGCAGCGCCCGCAGTGGGGGCACAGGGGACACCCCACAGCCCCCTCTGTCCCCGCAGCCCCAAAGCGTGCAGGTGGCACAGGAAGGAGCCGGGGCTCGCCCGCCCGCCCGCAGCGAACCCCACGGCGCCGAGGGGCTGAGCGAGAGCCTCCGACTTCCTCCTGGCCCAGGCGAGCGCAGCAGCCGCAGGCGATGTGTCCCGGCCGGCGCTGCTGGGGCCTCGGCTCCCTCCTGCTGCTGCTGCTGCTGCTCGGTGAGCTGGGGACGGGGCCACTGCGGCTGGAGAAGCCAGCGGGGAGGAGGCTGGGGCCAAGGGGCTGGGGGTGCAGGTGATGCAGGGAGCACCCTGGGGCGGCTGCATCCAATGGGGTCCCCAAAATCAAGGGCACCGCGCTGGTGTCTGGATATGAGGCTCCTGTCAGGGGGCAGTGTGCTGTACTGCGTCTGGCTGGGATGTCAGCTTTCCCTGCAGCAGCCCACACAGTGCTGGGCTCTGCACTTGCAGCTGGAACAGCAGTGGGATCAGCCCAGTGCTGTGTCTGCTGCTGAGCAGAGCTGGCACGGCACCAGGGCTCTCTCTCACCCTCCTGGGGGTGGGCAAAGAAGTGAAACAGGAACATCCCCAGGGCAGCTGCCCTAAACCAACCAAAGGGATATTCCGTACCACCTGGTGGCACACTCAGCAATATCGGGTGGAAAAAGGAGGAAGAGGGGAGGGCTGGGCTCTCGTTGCGAAAACGTCGGTCCTCCTGAACACTGGCTACGTGCGTTGAGGCTCTGCTGCAAGGACGTGGTCAAGCACCGCTCACTTGTGGGAAGCAGAGAGTAATTTCTTTCCTCTGCACTTCAACATAGCCTTTAGGAGTTTTGTTTTGCTTTTTTTTTTTTCCCTCTCTTTTCCCCTTTCAATTTTTTTTCCCTTAAGCTGAATTGTTTAATTAATGCTAATATTTCCTTCATAATTATTTTTTCCCTTAAATAAAATGACCCCTGTATCAACCCGTGAGTTGTTCTTTCCGTTACTTCTTCCCCTCCTCTTCTAAGGAGGGGGAGTGAGAGACAGGTTGTGGTGTTCAGCTGCCCAGCACGGTAAAAACACCCCACGGGGCAGGGTGGGCTGAGCGCTGTGCTCCAAGGGGGGAGAATCTGCCCCTGCCCTGCTGAGCTGCTCATCTGCCTCTTCCCCTCTGCAGGGCAAAACCTGGGCCTCCTCGTGGAAATCCCGCAGGATGCAGTCACTGGCACCGTGGGGCAGTCCGTGCTCCTGCCCGTCTCCTACAGATGCAACAGCTTCCCTTGCTTCCCAATGTCAATTAGGTGGATATTTGGTCACACCTCACAAAGAACCATCTTCTGCAGCGTGCACAACTGCTCCCTGGATGATGGGGGCACTCCCAAGAACTGCTCCACAAGCTGTTTCACCAATATTACACATTCAGGCCGTGTTGTGCTCTTCCCCGAGAACGCATCCCTGCTGCTGCAGGACCTGCAGCTCAGTGACAGCGGGGTGTACACCGTCAGCTTCCAGCACCAAATACAAATCAGGAACATCACCCTGACCGTGCTCCAGCAGCCTGTCCCCACAGATCCTACCAGCGAAGGTAAGTGTCCCTGTGCTGCCCTGGCAGCATTCCTGCCCCTCCTGATGGGGACAGCACGGGACCCCTGCAGAGGTGTCCTGGGGAGGTGGCAGCCTCCCGATGCCACATCTCCTCTCTCCTACCGCAGGCACTTCTCAACCAGCAGGAAGAATAGCCACACGCATCCCTTGCTGCATCCTCAGAGGCTGCTACTGCTTCATCCTGCTGCTCCTGCAGCTGCTCTTCCACCTGTGCTGGCTGCGGGGCAGCCGTGGGGAAGCCTGCGGCTGCTGCTGGGGAGAAGGGAGCCAGCGTGCGGGAGCAGCCAGGGCCGGGGCACAATGAAGTGCCCGCAGTGCCCGGCCACAAGGAAGGCGCTCAGCTGCTGCCTCGGGGCTGCTTTTCCCTCTGGCACCTGCCCCTCTGCTGGACAAACCGGGCTCCCGGCCCCTGCCTGCCCCCAGTGCACAACCACTCCCCACGCTCACATACCCCTGCTGTGAAATTCCTGCTCCCAATTCAAACACCAAATAAACACCTTTCCTCTGGCCTCCCTGTCTCCAAAGTGCCTGGCATGGGGCTGCAGCACCACCTGAAGCAGTTCCAGCACCAAAGCGAGAGCCGGGAGAGATTCCCAAAGCTTCTGGCCAGCCCCAGGAGACTCCAAAAGCTGCTTTTGTAGGGCAGGGGCTGGTTGGCTGCTGAGGCTAAAGGCTGACAGCTTCAATAACATCCTCCAAGCGATTGAGCTGCAACCCCTGGAAAATCCCTCCATAAATGGAGATGGAATAGACACTTTTCTGGTAGCTCCCTGCTGTGAGCATGGAAGGGGTGCTGGGGCAGAAGCAGTGCCCGCAGTGGGGGCACAGGGGACACCCCACAGCCCCCTCTGTCCCCGCAGCCCCAAAGCGTGCAGGTGGCACAGGAAGGAGCCGGGGCTCGCCCGCCCGCCCGCAGCGAACCCCACGGCGCCGAGGGGCTGAGCGAGAGCCTCCGACTTCCTCCTGGCCCAGGCGAGCGCAGCAGCCGCAGGCGATGTGTCCCGGCCGGCGCTGCTGGGGCCTCGGCTCCCTCCTGCTGCTGCTGCTGCTGCTCGGTGAGCTGGGGACGGGGCCACTGCGGCTGGAGAAGCCAGCGGGGAGGAGGCTGGGGCCAAGGGGTTCTCAGGGCAGGTGATGCGGAGCCCACCCTGGGGCGGCTGCATCCAGTGGGGTTCCCAAACACAAGGGCACCGCACTGAGGTCTGGTGTGTGGGCGTGAGGCTTCTGTAAGGGGGCGGTGGGGCAGGGTGGGCTGAGCGCTGTGCTCCAAGGGGGGAGAATCTGCCGCTGCCCTGCTGAGCTGCTGAGCTGCCTCTTCCCCTCTGCAGGGCAAAACCTGGGCTTCCTCCTGGAAATCCCGCAGGATGCAGTCACTGGCACCGTGGGGCAGTCCGTGCTCCTGCCCGTCTCCTACAGATGCAACAGCACCTCTTGCTTCCCACTGTCAATTAGGTGGATGTTTGGTCACACCTCACAAGTAATCATCGCCTGCACAGTGCAGAACTGCTCCCTGGATGATGGGGGGGCTCCCAAGAACTGCTCCACAATCTGTTTCCTCCATCCTGCACATTGGGGCCGTACTGAGCTCTTCCCCGAGAACGCATCCCTGCTGCTGCGGGACCTGTGGCTCAGTGACAGCGGGGTGTACACCGTCAGCCTCCAGCACCAAAGACAAATCAGGAACATCACCCTGGCCGTGCTCCAGCAGCCTGTCACCCCAGACCATTCCAGTGAAGGTAAGTGTCCCTGTGCTGGGCACAGGCACCTCCTGCACTGCTCCAGCCATGGGAAGCATCGGGCACAGACAGAATTTCGGTCCCTGCTTCCAAGGGGCCAAGCCACTGTAGCGAAGGGAGGATTCCCAAGGCTTTCTTATGCAGTGCTGGTTGTGCTATTCTGGTTGTAGCTCGAAGCCCAGCTCCAAGGGGGAGAGTCTGCTGCTGATCTGCCTCTTCCCCTCTGCAGGGAGAAACCTGGGCTTCCTCCTGGAAATCCCGCAGGATGCAGTCACTGGCACCGTGGGGCAGTCCGTGCTCCTGCCCGTCTCCTACAGATGCAACAGCACCCCTTGCTTCCCAGTGGCAATTCAGTGGCTGTTTAGTCAGCCCTTAGAAACAATCATCGCCTGCACAGTGCAGAACTGCTCCCTGGGTGATGGGGGGGCTCCCAAGAACTGCTCCACAAACTGTTACCCCTATCCTACACATTGGGGCCGTGTTGAGCTCTTCCCCGAGAACGCATCCCTGCTGCTGCGGGACCTGCGGATCAGTGACAGCGGGGTGTACACCGTCAGCTTCCTACAGCACCAAAGACAAAGCAGGCACATCACCCTGACCGTGCTTGAGCAACCTGTCACCCCAGACCACTCCAGCAACAGTAAGTGTCCCTGTGCTGCCCTGGCAGCATTCCTGCCCCTCCTGATGGGGACAGCACGGGACCCCTGCGGAGGTGTCCTGGGGAGGTGGCAGCCTCCCGATGCCACATCTCCTCTCTCCTACCGCAGGCACTTCTCAACCAGCAGGAAGAATAGCCACACGCATCCCTTGCTGCATCCTCGGAGGCTGCTACTGCTTCATCCTGCTGCTCCTGCAGCTGCTCTTCCACCTGTGCTGGCTGCGGGGCAGCCGTGGGGAAGCCTGCGGCTGCTGCTGGGGAGAAGGGAGCCAGCGTGCGGGAGCAGCCAGGGCCGGGGCACAATGAAGTGCCCAGAGTGGGGGCACAGGGGACACCCCACAGCCCCCTCTGTCCCCGCAGCCCCAAAGCGTGCAGGTGGCACAGGAAGGAGCCGGGGCTCGCCCGCCCGCCCGCAGCGAACCCCACGGCGCCGAGGGGCTGAGCGAGAGCCTCCGACTTCCTCCTGGCCCAGGCGAGCGCAGCAGCCGCAGGCGATGTGTCCCGGCCGGCGCTGCTGGGGCCTCGGCTCCCTCCTGCTGCTGCTGCTGCTGCTCGGTGAGCTGGGGACGGGGCCACTGCGGCTGGAGAAGCCAGCGGGGACGAGGCTGGGGCCAAGGGGCTGGGGGTGCAGGTGATGCAGGGAGCACCCTGGGGCGGCTGCGTCCAGTGGGGTCCCCAAACACAAGGGCACCACGCTGGTGTCTGTATATGAGGCTCCTGTCAGGGGGCGGTGTGCTGTACTGCGTCTGGCTGGGATGTCGGTTTTCCATGCAGCAGCCCACACAGTGCTGGGCTCTGCACTTGCAGCTGGAGCAGCAGTGGGATCAGCCCAGTGCTGTGTCTGCTGCTGAGCAGAGCTGGCACGGCACCAGGGCTCTCTCTCACCCTCCTGGGGGTGGGCAAAGAAGTGAAACAGGAACATCCCCAGGGCAGCTGCCCTAAACCAACCAAAGGGATATTCCGTACCACCTGGTGGCACACTCAGCAATATCGGGTGGAAAAAGGAGGAAGAGGGGAGAGCTGGGCTCTCGTTGCGAAAACATCGGTCCTCCTGAACACCGGCTACGTGCATTGAGGCTCTGCTGCAAGGACGTGGTCAAGCACCGCTCACTTGTGGGAAGTAGAGAGTAATTTCTTTCCTCTGCACTTCAACATAGCCTTTACGAGTTGTGTTTTGCCTTTTTTTTTTTTCCCCTCTTTTCCCCCTTTCCTTTTTTTCCCTTTAGTTGAATTGTTTAATTACTGATAACCTTTCCTTCATACTTATTTTCTCCCTTTAATAAAATGATCATTATCTCATTCCGTGAGTTGTTCTTTCCGTTACTTCTTCCCCTCCTCTTGTAAGGAGGGGGAGTGAGAGACAGGTTGTGGTGTTCAGCTGCCCAGCACGGTAAAACCACCCCATGGGGCAGGGTGGGCTGAGCGCTGTGCTCCAAGGGGGGAGAATCTGCCCCTGCCCTGCTGAGCTCTCCCCTCTTCCCCTCTGCAGGGCAAAACCTGGGCTTCCTCCTGGAAATCCCGCAGGATGCAGTCACTGGCACCGTGGGGCAGTCCGTGCTCCTGCCCGTCTCCTACAGATGCAACAGCACCTCTTGCTTCCCTATGTCAATTAAGTGGACATTTGATCACACCTCACAAAGAACCATCGCCTGCACCGTGCAGAACTGCTCCCTGGATGATGGGGGGACTCCCAAGGACTGCTCCATAGAATGTTACCCCAATCCTACACACTGGGGCCGTGTTGTGCTCTTCCCCGAGAACGCATCCCTGCTGCTGCAGGACCTGCGGCTCAGTGACAGCGGGGTGTACACCATCAGCCTCCAGCACCAAAGACAAATCAGGAACATCACCCTGACCGTGCTCATTCAGCCTGTCACCCCGGACCATTCCAGCGAAGGTAAGTGTCCCTGTGCTGGGCACAGGCACCTCCTGCACTTGCCCCAGCCATGGGAAGCATCGGGCACAGACAGAATTTCGGTCCCTCCTTCCACGGGGCCAAGCCAGTGCAGCGAAGAGATGATTCCCAGGGGTGTCCTAGGTGCTGCTGGTTGTGCTCCTCCAGTTGTAGCTGGAAGCCCAGCGTTCCTCCCTCTGCCACCGTTAGCTAGAAGTACGAGTGAGTGCCTCTTGCACAGCCGCTTGTCTCTGCAGGAGAAAGGCTCCACAACAGCATTGCCTTTAGCTGAAAGGAATGGCTGCAGAGAATGAATGGGAGAGGTGGGTTCAGGAACCCAGGCACCATGTCTGGGTCCTGTACTGGGGAAATTGTTTACGTACTGGTCAAATATATTATGTACTGGGGCAAATATTTCCTGGGGAGAATAGGGCACTTGGGGGTAAATCAGCGGCCACAGAGGCTGAGAAAAAAATGCACCAAATGCTCTCCTACCACTCTGGTGCAACCCGACATGCAACGTCCATGAAATAATCACCAGGGCAGTACCTGCTGCCACTGCTTTCCTTTAGGAAGCACTTACAGCACCTGTTGTCTTCCAAATGCCAGGCATCAGCAAGCAAGACCACATACAAAACTACATAATTGGAGCTTCCTCGTTAATCTTTCTCCTGCTGTTCCTGGTCTTCTGCGTTTGGCGCTGGGGTAGGTGGCTCTTGCACTGCAAACTTTGAGGTTGCACCTCTGGTTCCTTCGGGCATATTCCCTGGGGATAAAGGTAGTGGGGGGGCTCTGGAGAGGTTCTGCTCTTCACACCAGAATTATTCCTTTCCTGTGAGGTCCCCTTCAGCGTACCACCTCCTTCCATCTGTAAAGAGTCACAGTTTCTAGTTTGTGATGCAGCTGAACGAAGCAGAAGCACAGCATGGGGCTGTTGCAAAGGTTTTCTGGAAAGCCCATACCTTCTGGAAAATAAACCAGCAAGGTGCCTATCTCCATGGCTCCCATCAAAACCTTCACCCCCGAGGATGCCTTTGTCAGGAGACAAGTTCATTTGTTTCCAAGGGGGAGATTTCACCCGTGCTTGGCTGGAGCAGCCACAGAAATCTCCGTCTTGATGGCAAAATCCTCATCAACCCCCTGGTGAAAGTGCCAGTATATTATCTCTGGTCCTCCAGGGCTAGGATGGGGAGGGTGCAACCTGTCGGTAACAAAACCTTCTTTTTCTGAGGTGCAGTGCAGAAGAAGAAGATGAGAATCGTTAAACAACAGCAGGTACGGAAAAAAAATTTTTGAATGTTCTTTGGTTAAATGCTAACTGCTGGCTTGAATAAGATGCACTGAGCTACAAGAATTGGTTGCTGAATTTAAAATTAGGATGTTAATTCCGTGTTGTAAGGGCAAGCTGCAAAGTGGTAAGTGGCCCTGGGGTACTGCTTTCCCCCAGCTGCACCTTTACCCTATGCCTCCTTCCCAGAACCCCAAAAGGACCTGATTTTACCTTCGTGGCTGAGAAGCCTAGGGACACCTTTGGCTGACGGCAGCAAGGAGGGTGCAGAATGGTTAAATGCAGAGCAATGTGCAGATGATCACCCTTCCCTGCCTGGCAGCCTCACGGGTTTCTGTCGGGGCACTACTTGAGGTGTCTCTGTGGGCCGTGCAGACAGCCAGGATCAACCCCGACCCTCCCGTGGGCAAAGCCACCCGGGCTTTACATAGCTCCTGCTCCTGCTGAGTCCTCCTGGCTTGCAGTTAGCAGCTCCAGGACCCCTCCTGATCCCGACATCCTCTGGAGAAGGCTCTCTCTCACCCTGGGTGTTTTCTCTGTGCTTCTCAGGAGCCCCCCGAGGATAACACTGCGGTGGGGGAAGTAACAACCATTTATTCCAGAGTCGGAGACAGCTTTGAACATCCAGGGCTGAGAGAATCAGCACAGGTCATCTACTCATCCATAACCTCCCTCAATTCCTGAGGACAGGACTGGGCACCACCAGCTCCTGCTTTGGCTGCGGGAGCTGCCCGCAGAGCTCTGAACTTTGCAGGAGAGAGCCCTGCCAAAAAGGTGGCTGGTGATTTTGTCACTGACCAGAGAAAGGGGCCCAAGGTAAAGGCAAATCAGCAGTGCATCCGTGGGAAGCCTGATTCCACTGACTCACCTTAATCTGAGGGCTAACGGAGAGCACTGGATGTATTTCAGTGCTGTGCTCCAGGGTCACTTACCAATTGTCTTGTCATACTGAAAGAATGCATGAAGAAGGCCTTTTGACCTGGAAAGCTGTCCATATTTTTAGGAGTATGCCAAGTCACTGGAGAGCAGACCCTTCCTGCCATGAAATCTGCTTGGCCTTGGGATCCCAGGGCAAATGGTTCCTCTGCTGATCATTTGAAAAGTCCCCTTGAAGGGCAAGGAGTTGGGACTTTCTGTGCAATGGAGTTCCTGGCACATGGTGACATTCCTTTAAAACTGTTTGTACAGGTGGAAGAAAGCTGAGACGCCTAACTCTGTTTTAAAATTAAAGGCCACATCTCCCCTAGCAGCACCAGCTTTTTTAAAATGCAGTAAGGGCATAAATTGATTTGGTTTTGCTCTGGGCTTCATGGAAAACAAGAGAGAACATACCGAAACGTGGGGCCCCATCAGTAATAAACGGATGCTAGGACAGGACAAGAGTGCTAGGCATCTCCCGACCACAGCCTGACCCAGAGAGGGCACGGAAACTGCTGCTGCTGCCTTCCTCTTTGTGTGCTCCTGTGTCGGCTGGGATGATGTTCAGGAGGGACAATGATGATGACAGTGGTGGTCCAAGCCCCCAGCATCAGCAGCCCCTCCCCTGGCTCTGGGTGAAGGACGTGGCTGCTCTGCTCTTGGAAAGCCCTGCTGATCTTCACGACAGCAGAGGTTCTTTTTTCTCCAGAAAATAGAAGCTCCTTGTGACTTAATAAAACCGCAAAAGCTGAAAAGTCGCCTTGGGTATGCACGAAGCTTTTGCAGTGGTTAGCGTGAAGCCTTAAGTAGCAGGAGAGAAGAAAGTACTAAAAAAAGTGAAGCAGTAGAAGATAATTGCACAGGAAATGTGACTATCAGTCCTCGGGCATATGTGGTCACTGGTTGTCCTCTCAGCAGACCTCATGTTGTTCCTGACCCCTGCAGAAGGATTTGGAAATGCCATCCCCAGAGAGCATGGCAGGACAAGGGAGGACTGCTGAGATCTGCTCCTCCACAGTGGTGAGTGGAGTCCACCCCAAGCAGAAAAGGCTCTTGATCTCCCTGGTGCCTGCTAGAGCACAAAATAACCTGCAGCAAAATGAAGACCGAGGTCTGAATTTGGACGCCCAGAAACACAACCACCCCTTTATGAGCCTTGTGTGTCCCAGAGCAGCTTCTTCTTGGAGAAGACACCTTTGGAGAGCCCGGTCCCTGAAACGCCATCTGCAAAGAAGACCTGCAAGGCAGGGGGGATTAAATCCTCCCTGTGGGACCAGGGCCTCGGGGGGGGCACCAGGGAGCCCTTGCAGGAGGTGATGTCCTGCTGCACCCATGCTCAGCTAAGGCACAGGGAGCAAAGTGCCCCTTCTGCTTCCACGGGTTTTCTCAGCTAAAATAAAGTTTTGCAAGAGTTCCCAGAGTTTTGCCTTATTCTCCTGCTCTTTGGTAGCATTGAGGCACGTTGTGCTTTCTTTTTGGCAACTCACTTGCTTTTGAACTCAAATTCTCTTTCTGCCGTCCTTGGTCTCAGGCAGGTGAGTTTGCCCTGCTGGAGCGGTGCCACGCAGAAGGGGCTGCAGGACTTGGGGTGCCAGAGGAACTGCAGTGCCCGGTTCTGGAGGTTTTGGGAAGCGTTTGGTCCATGCATCTCGAGAGAAAGGCCTGTGTCTGCTGGTGCTGCATTGGCACTGATTTGGCCCAGTTTTGTGCTCGCGAGGCCTGCTGAGACCTGCCCTCCAGGGTGGGCCATATGCAGAGGGGATCCCTGCATTTGTGGCGTGATGAGGTTGAAACTCCACACTTTTTGGGGGGCTACACGTGTAGGCCAGGGGAGGGGAAAGCAGGCCCCATGCGTGCCTCACACAGCAGCACAGTGCAGGCAGACCTCACAGCGAGCCCACAGCTCCTCTCGTGACCCACGCTGCGTGCAGAGCACAGAGGGAACTGCAGAAACCGAAGGGAAAAAGAGAAACTGAACGAGCAGAGGGGGGGCTGGACGGCCACACAGGATACGTGGTGCTTTGTGTGCTTCCCTGTCCCTGCCTGACTCTCACCCCTGCTTGCCCCGAGCTCCCACCACCAAAGGCCTTTTGTTCTCACCCACACCACCTGTCTCTGCCTCTAGCCCCCACACTGCAGCCCCGCCAGCTGCCGCTGCCATTTCATTTCCTTCTCCGAGCGGCTTCCTCGCAGGCCTCTGCCTCCCAGCCCCCTCCTTTGCTTGCTCTTTGCAGCTCTTAAAGGTCAGTGTGGCTTTCTTTGTGGCTGCAGGCGGCTCGGTGCTTGCAGGTCTTGCAGGTGCTTCTCAGACACTCGCTAGCTACACCTCAGAGCAGCTTCCTCTGCTGGATACACGCGGCCTTTGAATTAACGATTCAGGTAGTGCACCGGTCCTCTCTGCGGCCTTGCCGCTCATCCTAGTTTATTCTTCCATGTTTTAGTCACAGAATCACAATATTAGGGATCGGAAATCCATCCCATGTGTCTGAAAGCCATATTCTGGGGCTGACAATGAGTGGGGCAGGGGGCCTGGTAACAAGAGGGGTGGAAAATGCCGAGGTACCCAGTGCCTTCTTCACCTCGGTCTTCACCGGTACTTGTGTTCAGCAATCCGAGGGCCTGGAGAAGGTCTGGAGCAAGGAAGGTGTGTTCTTGGTGGGAGGGGACCAGATCAGGGAGCACTGAAGCCAACTGGGCATATATAGGCCCATGGGGCCTGAAAGGATGCACCCACAAGCTCTGAGGGAGCTGGCTGATGGCAGTGACAGGCCACTCCTGATCATCTCTGAGAGGCTGTGGGGAGGTTTCTGAAGGCTGGTGGAAAGCAAGTGTCACCCCTACCTTCAGAAAGGGGCAAGGAGGACATGAGTGAAATACAGGACGGACAGATTCACCTCAATTCCTGGGCAGCATTTCCCAGCACATGATGGGCAAGAAGGTGATTGGAAGAAGGTAGCGTGGATTTAGGAATGAGAAATCCTGCGTAACTAACCCAATAGCCTTCTGCAATGAAAGGGCTGATTGATGGACGAAGGGAGAGCAGGGGATGTCGCCTACTTCCATATCAGTAAGGCTTTTGACACCATCTCCCATAGAGATAGCACCACAGCATCCTCACAGAGAAGCTGATAAAGTATGGGTTTGATAAGTGAATTTATTAGTATGGTGGGGCTGGAAACTGGCTAAACAGCCAGGCCCAGACATTCAAAACCCAACAGGACATGGTGCTGGGCAACCAACTCTAGGAGACCCTGCATGAGCAAGGGGTAGACTAGATGACCTCCAGAGGTGCCTGCAGACCCACACTCTTCTGCCTTTCTTGGACTCTGGTGCTGTTTGCTCAGAGGGAAAGGGTGTCCCATGGCTTCACCAGGACTGATCAGGTAGAGGAGTCTCTTTACGTTTTTTTTTTTCCCCTCTCATTTAACCCTAGATGGAGAATTTAGGAGTGTTCTGTGTGAACAATCAGCCAAGCACCTCCTTGGCAAAGGCCCGGGTCCTCAAAACACTGCCGCAAGAGACGCTGAGATCGACCAGAAAATGTAATTATCTTTTTCACTGGGGCATTTCTGTTTTCTAGCAGAGAATGACCATCCCTTCACAACTATTTGAGCTGCAGCAGCGTGACCATCCCTTCACAACTATTTGGGCTGCAGCAGTGTGTGAGTGGGAGAGAGAGGCCTGGTGCTGTGCATTTTGATAGGCTGTGGCATGAGATTCGCATCTGCTGGTGGTCAGACACTCTGCTCATCTTTCTCCAACCGCAATAAGCTGCACTGCCCCAAAGCAGCATGTGTGGAAAATCTTCCTCACAGACAATATTTATAGGGTTGTGCTGCTGTGTTTGGTGTTTAATTTCTTCCATCCCCCTGAAAGGTGCAAGGTGCAACAAATGCCCGAAAGTAAGTGCCAGAAAAGCTTTTAAAAGTTCATGCGAAAGGCGTTAGCTTGCCTTTTTCCTGCAGTTCATCCAAGATTAAGTGGAAAACATGATTTTAAAGTTTTCTTCCAGAAAGTTGTGGAAGGAATGATACTAGAGTAGCCTGATATAGAAAAATGTCTCTTTGGAGCGGTGGGTCTGGATGATGGGGGCATGGTGGGACAGGTGGGTGGACTACCTTCATCTGCGACAGTTCATCCTTCCGGCAAACAAATAACACATCTGCCCAGAGAAAGAAAGCTTCATCCTGTCACATATTCTTGAAGGCAACTTCAGTTGAATTGTCACCCTGATGGCTGTTGTCGCACATTGATGCATCCGTTGCAGCTGCAAGGGGCTACCCAAGCGATGTGCTGCTTTAGGGAGGGGACAGAGCTGCTGCTCCCTGTGACAAATCACATTTTTCTGCTGCTGTTTTGCACCAGCACCCTTACACTTCTATCAGTTGCTTTTAGTTTTGCAGCTCTCCAAGCTCACAGGATGCAGCAGTGCTTCACTATGACAGAATGCACATGGCCTGTGCTGTGACCTTACGTGGAGGAACCAAGATGGGAACAGAGAGCCTGCACTTCGATAGCCACAGGGAGAAAGAGAAGTTCATTTAAAAATGAAAATACGGAATTGTGAAATGACTGGCTGCACAGACAGCTGTCTTGCTCCATCTTGCTCCAGTTTTGGGGGTCACTCTCGGCAGGGCAGGAAAGCTTTCCCTGCTGCTCTGGGGCAGATCTCCAACCTTCCCGAGCCTCTCATCTCTCTGCTCCTCAGCCTAGAGCATGAAACTTGGTCCTTAGGTGCTCCTCCAGTGCAAACCCCCTTACAGTGAAATTCCCTTTGTGGAAAGCTTGTGGCACATGGGTGATCCCATTCTGCACCTGTCTTGGTGGAGGAAAAAGCCCCTGGCAGTGGAATAAGTGTCTCCGAGCCCCTGCCAATGCTAAAAGCAGGTTAGAGGACCAGAAACAGGCTTAGGGAGCTGAGGCCCTCTCCCAGGGGCAGGATGGAAGATGCTTGAGCTGCAAGAAAGGGATGGGGATGATGGATCTTTGGCCTCAGGGCATGGAAACAACCTGGGACATCACCCGGGATTTGTATTGCCCATGCCAGCAAGGAAATAAGATATACCCCCTAGGAGAGAAGTCAGATGGGTTCTTCTCCCTGGGTTGTCCTGGCCAGCAGGCACTGCATTTCTTGTGGTGGGGCCGCTTCTGGGGTTCAACGCTACTCTGCCCAGCTACAGCCTGGCTCCTCGGAACGCAGTGCCACTCCTCCCCGCAGGAACAGCAGCGGCTTCGCGGCACGCTGGGGCGGGAGCGGCTGCTGGCAGCAGAAAACCTCCCAGGAAAGAGGAGAAGAGGCAGCAGGAACGGAGAGGAGCCATCAGCAGGGAAACGGTGAGCCTGGCACCAGCCCACCCTCGGCACTGCCCTCCTGAGCATCAGGAATCCAGCCCCCTGCAAGCAACTACCTGACTTGCAATCATCATTACTTTCAAAATACAGGATTTTTTGAGCCTTTTCTCCTTGGCAGATGCAGCTGCACCGTCCCATAGAGCTGCTGGGGACCAGCTGGATGCTCCTGGCAGGTAAAGTAGGGGATGATGACACCCAGCAGGCTCGGGGCTGGATTCTCACCTGCTGCAAACCAGCAGAGGTTTCAGCAGAGCTTTGCAATTGTGCGTGGGTAGCGCTGGTCCATGTGGATTAGGGTTTTTAAATGGGACAAGTTGCTTGTCCTGCAAGGAAGGGCATCTCTGCTCCACTGTCCAAAGGCAGAGGAGGTAGAAGCAACTCAGAAGCATGGAACCAAGAATAAATATCCTCTGCGGGTAGGTTTATCTGAGACCAGGATATGTAACAACACAGAATTTATTGCAGTTATGGAAATAATCTCACTGTGGTCAAAGCACCGGCCGGCTTGAAGCACAAATGTACAAAGCTTTTCAGGGTGAACAGCTGAAATGGAAACCAAACCTGTTCAGGTATATGCACTGTTTGCCAGATGCCATGGTGTCAGGGAGTGCTGAGCACCTACAGGATGAGCTTTGTATATTGCAGGCGTATAAAGATGCTTGTAATGAAATATTTTCTCTTATTTTGTGTGTGTAAAGAGCGCTCTTCTAGAGCACAGGGATTTTCAATTATAAGCTTGTTTCTTCTCCTCGCACACATCTCTCACAGTTTGGGGGGCACAAAAATAAAAACCGATGGCTGTTTCTGGAGGTCACGAGCCTGAGAAGTGCAGAGCCGTCAGCAGGGCTTGGTTTGTTTGCGTTTTTACCCCTAATGCCTTGTGCTGCAAAATCACCGGGAGAGATTACCGGCCGGGGCCAGTTCCCAGGGGCTTTGCAGACAGCAGGCGGCAGTGTGAGGCACGCCAGCAGCTGCGAGAAGGGAGGATGCTGAGCCTGCGCCTGGCAGCCCCGAGGGGAGAGGAGCTCGGGCTCCATCGTCTCCATGAGGAGAGGCTCTTGTGGTGCT